AATTTTTCGCCCAAAAAAAAAACGTAAGGGGTACCACTGTCGTTTTTTTTTCGGGCCCAATTTTTGAGTTTCGATATCTCAGCTCTGGAAGGGGCTAGAGCCTCCATTTTTGCACTCAGGTCTAAGTCTCATGGCCCTCTATCAGAATCCAGAGTTTTGGGAAGATTGGAGAAACTTAATTTTTCGCCCCAAAAAAAAAAACGTAAGGGGTACCACTGTCGTTTTTTTTTCGGGCCCAATTTTTGAGTTTCGATATCTCAGCTCTGGAAGGGGCTAGAGCCTCCATTTTTGCACTCAGGTCTAAGTCTCATGGCCCTCTATCAGAATCCAGAGTTTTGGGAAGATTGGAGAAACTTAATTTTTCGCCCCAAAAAAAAAACGTAAGGGGTACCACTGTCGTTTTTTTTTCGGGCCCAATTTTTGAGTTTCGATATCTCAGCTCTGGAAGGGGCTAGAGCCTCCATTTTTGCACTCAGGTCTAAGTCTCATGGCCCTCTATCAGAATCCAGAGTTTTGGGAAGATTGGAGAAACTTAATTTTTCGCCCAAAAAAAAAAACGTAAGGGGTACCACTGTCGTTTTTTTTTCGGGCCCAATTTTTGAGTTTCGATATCTCAGCTCTGGAAGGGGCTAGAGCCTCCATTTTTGCACTCAGGTCTAAGTCTCATGGCCCTCTATCAGAATCCAGAGTTTTGGGAAGATTGGAGAAACTTAATTTTTCGCCCAAAAAAAAAAAACGTAAGGGGTACCACTGTCGTTTTTTTTTCGGGCCCAATTTTTGAGTTTCGATATCTCAGCTCTGGAAGGGGCTAGAGCCTCCATTTTTGCACTCAGGTCTAAGTCTCATGGCCCTCTATCAGAATCCAGAGTTTTGGAAGATTGGAGAAACTTAATTTTTCGCCCAAAAAAAAAACGTAAGGGGTACCACTGTCGTTTTTTTTTCGGGCCCAATTTTTGAGTTTCGATATCTCAGCTCTGGAAGGGGCTAGAGCCTCCATTTTTGCACTCAGGTCTAAGTCTCATGGCCCTCTATCAGAATCCAGAGTTTTGGGAAGATTGGAGAAACTTAATTTTTCGCCCCAAAAAAAAAAAACGTAAGGGGTACCACTGTCGTTTTTTTTTCGGGCCCAATTTTTGAGTTTCGATATCTCAGCTCTGGAAGGGGCTAGAGCCTCCATTTTTGCACTCAGGTCTAAGTCTCATGGCCCTCTATCAGAATCCAGAGTTTTGGGAAGATTGGAGAAACTTAATTTTTCGCCCCAAAAAAAAAACGTAAGGGGTACCACTGTCGTTTTTTTTTCGGGCCCAATTTTTGAGTTTCGATATCTCAGCTCTGGAAGGGGCTAGAGCCTCCATTTTTGCACTCAGGTCTAAGTCTCATGGCCCTCTATCAGAATCCAGAGTTTTGGGAAGATTGGAGAAACTTAATTTTTCGCCCCAAAAAAAAACGTAAGGGGTACCACTGTCGTTTTTTTTTCGGGCCCAATTTTTGAGTTTCGATATCTCAGCTCTGGAAGGGGCTAGAGCCTCCATTTTTGCACTCAGGTCTAAGTCTCATGGCCCTCTATCAGAATCCAGAGTTTTGGGAAGATTGGAGAAACTTAATTTTTCGGCCAAAAAAAAAACGTAAGGGGTACCACTGTCGTTTTTTTTTTCGGGCCCAATTTTTGAGTTTCGATATCTCAGCTCTGGAAGGGGCTAGAGCCTCCATTTTTGCACTCAGGTCTAAGTCTCATGGCCCTCTATCAGAATCCAGAGTTTTGGGAAGATTGGAGAAACTTAATTTTTCGCCCAAAAAAAAAAAAACGTAAGGGGTACCACTGTCGTTTTTTTTTCGGGCCCAATTTTTGAGTTTCGATATCTCAGCTCTGGAAGGGGCTAGAGCCTCCATTTTTGCACTCAGGTCTAAGTCTCATGGCCCTCTATCAGAATCCAGAGTTTTGGGAAGATTGGAGAAACTTAATTTTTCGGCCAAAAAAAAAAACGTAAGGGGTACCACTGTCGTTTTTTTTTCGGGCCCAATTTTTGAGTTTCGATATCTCAGCTCTGGAAGGGGCTAGAGCCTCCATTTTTGCACTCAGGTCTAAGTCTCATGGCCCTCTATCAGAATCCAGAGTTTTGGGAAGATTGGAGAAACTTAATTTTTCGGCCAAAAAAAAAACGTAAGGGGTACCACTGTCGTTTTTTTTTTCGGGCCCAATTTTTGAGTTTCGATATCTCAGCTCTGGAAGGGGCTAGAGCCTCCATTTTTGCACTCAGGTCTAAGTCTCATGGCCCTCTATCAGAATCCAGAGTTTTGGGAAGATTGGAGAAACTTAATTTTTCGCCCAAAAAAAAAAAACGTAAGGGGTACCACTGTCGTTTTTTTTTCGGGCCCAATTTTTGAGTTTCGATATCTCAGCTCTGGAAGGGGCTAGAGCCTCCATTTTTGCACTCAGGTCTAAGTCTCATGGCCCTCTATCAGAATCCAGAGTTTTGGGAAGATTGGAGAAACTTAATTTTTCGCCCAAAAAAAAAACGTAAGGGGTACCACTGTCGTTTTTTTTTCGGGCCCAATTTTTGAGTTTCGATATCTCAGCTCTGGAAGGGGCTAGAGCCTCCATTTTTGCACTCAGGTCTAAGTCTCATGGCCCTCTATCAGAATCCAGAGTTTTGGGAAGATTGGAGAAACTTAATTTTTCGCCCAAAAAAAAAAACGTAAGGGGTACCACTGTCGTTTTTTTTTCGGGCCCAATTTTTGAGTTTCGATATCTCAGCTCTGGAAGGGCTAGAGCCTCCATTTTTGCACTCAGGTCTAAGTCTCATGGCCCTCTATCAGAATCCAGAGTTTTGGGAAGATTGGAGAAACTTAATTTTTCGCCCCAAAAAAAAAACGTAAGGGGTACCACTGTCGTTTTTTTTTTCGGGCCCAATTTTTGAGTTTCGATATCTCAGCTCTGGAAGGGGCTAGAGCCTCCATTTTTGCACTCAGGTCTAAGTCTCATGGCCCTCTATCAGAATCCAGAGTTTTGGGAAGATTGGAGAAACTTAATTTTTCGCCCAAAAAAAAAAACGTAAGGGGTACCACTGTCGTTTTTTTTTCGGGCCCAATTTTTGAGTTTCGATATCTCAGCTCTGGAAGGGTCTAGAGCCTCCATTTTTGCACTCAAGTATAAGTCTTATGGCCCTCTATCAGAATCCAGAGTTTCAAGAAGATTGGAGAAACTAAAAAAAAGACGAAAGGGGTACCACTGTCGTTTTTTTTTTTTCGGTCGAAATTTTGAGTTTCGATATCTCAGCTCTGGAAGGGTCTAGAGCCTCCATTTTTGCACTCAAGTCTAAGTCTTATGGCCCTCTATCAGAATCCAGAGTTTCAAGAAGATTGGAGAAACTTATTTTTTCGCCCAAAAAAAAGACGAAAGGGGTACCACTGTCGTTTTTTTTTCGGGTCGAAATTTTGAGTTTCGATATCTCAGCTCTGGAAGGGTCTAGAGCCTCCATTTTTGCACTCAAGTCTAAGTCTTATGGCCCTCTATCAGAATCCGGAGTTTCAAGAAGATTGGAGAAACTTATTTTTTCGCCCCAAAAAAAAGACGAAAGGTCGAAATTTTGAGTTGCTCTGATCTCCTTTCGGTTTGTAGACAACCCACATGAACCACTGAGTCAATGCCGCCCAAAAATAGTGAAATAGTGGGTTCGCGGACGGTGGAATTTTGGGACGGCGGTTGGTGCTACCGACGGGGGGCCTGCTGAAAGCAGTAAAATTGTTTTTATAATGACAGGAACTTTAGTTAAAATGTCTATCAAATATACTACCCGAAACCCCATTCAATAGATTGCAGTTGGGATGGTGTCCAACATAAAAATGGTATGAAACTCATACAGGTTTGGAACAACATGAGGGTGAGTAAGTGATGACAAATATCATTTGTGGTTGAACTATACCTTTAAAGGCATAGTTCACCCAAAAATTTAAATTCACCCATGATTTAATCACCCTGGCCTCTAGCCATCCTAGGTGTATATGACATTCTTCTCTCAGACGAAAACAATCAGAATTATATTAAACAATGTCCTGGCCCTTCCAAGCCTGATATTGGCTGTAAATGGATGTCTCTGTATTGAAAGTCCATAAAAGTGCATCTATCCATGATACAAGTGCATCTATCCATCATAAAAGTGCTTCTATCCATGATAAAAGTGCCTCTATCCATCATAAAAGTACATCGGTCCATCATAAAAGTGCATCTGTCCATCATAAAAGTGCATCTATCCATGATAAAAGTGCATCCATCCATCATAAAAGTGCATCTGTCCATAAAAAATATTAAAATAAAATATTTAAAATATTCATATTTAAGTTGCGCTTTAGATTTAAGTCAAATCCATACATTCTTTTGGCCGGAAGTTATTTTACTTTATAAAGTTTTAAATATGGATATTTTTCTTACATCTCCATCTTCCTCATTACTCCACATAAAGTCAACATCTGAGATATTTTAATCAGCTATATGTTCAAGCACTTCAGAACTGTATATTCTGTACATGAAAAAGTTTAAAAAAATGTATCGGTACTGTGATATATATATTTTTTTTATAAAAGAAATTTCAATCAGCATCACTAAAAATATGACTTCAGTAACAGGCTTTCAAACCTACTGTCCATTCTAATGGACAGACACATTTAAAAAAGTCATTTTTTTTAGTCAGTCGATTTTTAACTTTAATTAATAAGTTAAATCTTTCTATTTTACATAGAAACTATGAAATACTGGCAAAAATATATACAAAATGTAAAATGATGCTTGCTTCTGTGTTTGGAGTGAAGTGCTGCCATGCTTCTCTTCAATGTAGAGGGTTTTTTTATATAATTACTACATGCAGAGGATGACAAACGTCCAATCTCATGGACTGCAGGCTTTAAACTAGGTGAAATGCTCCAGAAGTTAAAAAAGGGGGCTGACATGTGATGTCCATTGTAATGGACACAGGGTCTGAATGGGTTAAAAATCCTACAATGTGATTTTGTCTCTCATAATTGAAGTGTACCTGTGATGAAAATTGCAGACCTCTCCCATTATTCTAAGTAGGAGAACTTGCACAATCAGTGGCTGACTAAATACTTTTTGGCCCCACTGTATTGCTAATAAATTGATTAACAAATGGTTTCAAGTTCGAATTCATGACTGAGGGTTTAAAAGACATTCAGTAATATTGAGTTGAGTGAACTTACAATCAGAAGAGAACTAAACTACAACTGAATTTATCTGATTTACAGCTGAATTTGACTAATATTTGATGGAAGTTTGCATCACTGATTGATATTTTCCACTTTATCACTGTGCCTCTGCTTCCAGACAATCTGTATTGTATAAAGCGCTGTAGAAATAAAGCCGACTTGACTTTAAAAACACAACCTTCTCCAAGTACCCGTCCCACAGCTTCAGCTCGGCGACCAGACTCTCTCGGTTCCTCTTCAGGGCCGACTCGTGACGCTCTCCCTCCGGGACGGCCCACTCGTAGAAAGCCACGTCATCTGCACTCACACACACACACACACGAGTCCAGCAGAGAATAACCGGCGGTTCAAAAAAACATTTGGCACAGTTGGCCTGAAGTTACGGGTGGCGTGGGGTTTGGGCCCGTCATCGCTGCCTGCAGCTATATTCATTGATATTTCTATGCTTTCCTGGCGTTCACACATGTAAGAAGTTCTTATGTTCAGTCAACACTCAGATCACTTGTTTGAAGAGGTTTCCGGACTGTAAATAAAAAGGCTTCCATGATTCCTGGTGCCATAACTTCTGATTGCTTTGAGATATATACATATTAACACAAACTGTGGCCCAGATGCGGTTGATGACTGTGAACAAGCCCACACTTGATATCATTTATGACCTGTCATATACTTTATAATAGCAGTCATGTCAAGCATTAATAATAACCAAATAAATCAATAAATTGCATCACTGTTTCAAAGGCTCTCTCAGCAGTATTGCATCATCATAACCTCCAAACACGTTCAAAATCTATTCTCGTCAAAATTTTAAAGGTGCCATATGTAATAATTGAGGTAAAAATATCCAAAAAATGAGCTACACGCATCAAAAGAATGAGAAGCAATAAGTGCAATGATGTCATTAAAAAACTGACAAGTTATAGTGCTGCCGAGATATTAACCTGAATTAGCATGCTAAATTACTAGCCCCGGCCCGGCAGGTGTCGTAATACCAGTTTCGGCCATGGGAGGCGGTATGCGGGCGGGCAACATTACCACCAGCCAAACTGCAATAGACGAGTAACTCGCGCGGCGTGTGTGTACTTGAACCTGATGTCAGTTGTGTGGAAATACAGCCCACTACTACATTTCAGTTCAGGGAAGAGTTCAAAAAATGATTGGTCGACATTATGCATGAGGGATACATTTTGGTAAGTTGTAGCATACTGTATCTTTCAACAGTGTTCGTGTTCTTTTTCCATTAGCTAGTATAGATGATCGGTTCATGTGCGCTAGGGATCTGTCGTGTAACATGTACAAGCGCCAAAACGGTATTTATTGTTTGAATTGCGTAATAAAATTGACAGAATCTGAGAGCTTAACTAACCTGCTTGCTAAGTGTTAATTGCATGTGTCTCACGGTGAATTCGTGAGAGTTGGCAGCTCTGAATGGCGCTAGCTTGATCAACATCAGCGAATGCTGTCTGTCAAATTAATTCAAACGAACAATAAAAGTGTAATATGAACAAAACGAATACCGTAAACTTAAAATAATAGCCCGCAGGCTTTTATTTTCCCATATCGTCGAAATGCAGTTGTTTTTGAGACAGGTGTCTATGAGTCAGTCTTCATCATTTAGTGTTGAGATGTTGTTCATTTAGTCTCTGATCTCTAAAAATCTCCAAATGTTCCACGTGAAACTGCCGTCTTCCAACCTTTTACTATCGTGTCAAATGATTTGAATAATATGCGGAGAAAGAGAGCAAAACAGCGCTCGCTTGTGTTGTTTGAAGACGTGAGAGTACGCGCGGCACAACACATTTTCTGGAGGTATACTGCCCCCATCTGTTATGGAATATGGAATATTTTTTGATTTTTAGTTCCAGATGGCACCTTTAAAGGTTTCTATCAAATGAGACCATGTTTGTTTGGGTTTTTTTTTGTAGAGTTATAAGTCATTACATTTAAGTTTGCCATTTGAAATCATGTGATATCATTAAAAATGCCCCTTTGTAAAGGGGTTAGCAGTGACCGTCAACAGAGAGCTTAAAGTCCCCCATAGTCAATATCAACCCTTCTTTGATCACCATTTTTTTAATTCTTCAGGCCTTGAAACATTTTGAATGTAACTCGACACACTTGTTTCTAGTATATGCGGTTCTATGAATATGCAAATGAGTCCCGCCTCCACTCACTCACTCAGCTTTCCACTAATGTTGCGTGTCCATTTACGTGTTATTTATCCTTTATGTGAAATACATTAATTAATCCTGTTATTTTAATGTTTTTTATATGCCAGAGACATGTTGCATCAGTTAATAAACAAATGACTTTTTGTCACTGTAAACCGCTAACATAAACCACGAGTGCTGGAGTATCTCTGGTATCGTTTGGACTAGGGATGGGCAACGATTAATCGCGATTAATCGCATTCCAAAATAAAAGTTTTTGTTTACATAATATATGCGTGTGTAGTGTATAATTAATTTGTATATAAATACCCACACATGCAACTATACATTTAAGAAATATGTGCATTCACAATTAATACTATATATAAATATAAATATTTGATGTATTAATAACACATTTTTCTTAAATATATACATGCATGTGTGGGTATTTATATATACAAATTAATTATACACACTACACACACATATATTATGTAAACACAAACTTTTATTTTGGATGCGATTAATCGCGATTAATCGTTGCCCATCCCTAGTTTGGACCGCTTTAAACGTACATTGATGAGTTAAATCACTTACACATTTTCTGCTGCAGGTTGTTGGTCTCGAACATGCGCTGGTAGACGAGCGCCTGCTCCGCTGGATCCTCCGGGATCAGACGGGTTCCTTGAGACTGGAACGCACTCTGGAAACCAGAAACATTGCCCAGTCTGTGGCGTGACCCTCATCTTTGTGTTTGAAGTAATTGTTATAACTACTTTCCTTGAAAAGCATGGATTCAATGTCAATAGCAAATGCTGACCAGTATTTGAAGGTTGAGCTGCGAGCTCATTGGCTACTGATACAGCAGGAACCAATCAGCTGTGTTCTATAGAGAATCATGTGATTGCAAGGCGATTACAGACGAGTCTGTGCCAAATAGAGTTTAATGACAGAACTTTCACACAATCACACAAACATGCAATATAAGCACATAAACATGGGAAGTCTACATTGGAACTTTTAAATCAATATCTACTCTAAACTGGAATAAAATATCGTAGCTTTTCTTAAACCCTTGAAAACTAGTACAAGTGATTATTTGTAACTCGCCTATCCCGGTTTGATAGACAATATTATTGTCGTTTATTTGGACCATAATCCTGCGAGATGTCGCAGACTCAAACACAGTGCACTGTTTGTATAAAATCAAAGGAAACTCTTTTTTTTGTCATATTTTGTTTGTCCCTAAATTGACACAGTCAAGGAAAAATATGATGGTAGTTTGAAATATATTTAAATATTTTTGCGGTCTTTCACAAAACGGGTTGCGCGAGAACGTTTGCATTTGCTCAAAAAACCTTGTGTAAAAGTTTCTCAGGCGAACGCAAAAATTTTATGAATACATGCAATAATATTGAAATATGTATTTGTTTATTTTCGTGAAAAAAAACTCAGACTTTTATAAGTCATAATTATACCAAAAAAAGTAAAAATGATGACATACTTGTGACATGATTATGAGATGGAGTCAAAACTTTGACTTACATTTTCAAGACAAAAAAATTAAATTGACAAACACACATAATTACGACATTAAAGGGTAACTAAACCCTTGGTCAGAGCCTGACTCCACCCACTGGCAATATTTGAAAATGCTGAAAAAGTGGGCTGACCCCAGCGGAGATAGAGGGGACGAAATAGATGCTAAAACACTCTATCCTGATCGTTTTCAATACTCACAATTTCAATTCCTTACTCCCTACATTGCTTTTGACGACACAAGATAGTTTTTATACAGCCAAGGGCGTAGCTCGCGTGGTGAGCTGAAACCTGCGTACGTCACGAAGTGCGGAACATCCAATAGGAAAATTCAACTGCAGTAGCCACCGTTCAACCTGAAGAGGGCAGCACTAGGACGTTTTTACACCATATATTGTAGAAATAAAACACTTTATAAACAAATGTCAAAAAAAGTTACTTGAATCAATGACTGGTATTAATAAATATCCATTCTTACAGATCATTAACTAAAAAAAGTTGGTTTAGTGTTTAGTTACTCTTTAAGGCTTGGCATGTTATTTCTCAATTATGGTTTAGTATGTCAATGACTTTTATGTCATAACTTTATATTATATCACTATTTTATTATATCATAATTTTTTATGAGAACTATCATATCATAATTTTTTGCCATTAAGACTTACCAATTTTTCTATTATGTGGCGGGAATGGGCTCTCGTGGTCATGTTTAAAGAGCATATTGCAGGTAAAAAAAAAAAAAAAAAAAAAAAAAAAATTCGAAATTTATAGATAACCATGTATGAAAATACCATATGAAAAGTTAATGCAGGATTTAAAATGTTTTAAAACAACATAAGGGCACTAATTTAGAAGATAAAGTGAGCGTTTCTTGGATTGCTAGTAAAAACGGCTTTTTTTTCAACATCGCGTCATTTGACGTCATATCAGGGAGCCGCAGCCTCGGCTCAGTGGAGAGCAGGCTGGTGTTCAGTGAGAGCGCTCGTCAGTCAGTGTGCTTTCGTTAGTTTTTGCATTTTAATTTATCATCGTCATGGTAAATTATTGTGTTTGTGGAGATTGCAAAAACTCCAGCCTGCAGGACTTCAAGATCGAGTCCACAAGTTTCCATTACAATAAAAGTGACGGTGCTATAGCCTATCTTTCGTTCCTGGTGCGGGTTGAGCAGGTGAAGAGACGGGATTTCTCTTCTGCATCGGCTCGGAAAACGTGGTCGTGTGTAGCGTTGACTCCAGATCAAATGATTAGCATCCCGGCGATATGATGGAGTTCAACATGGTATGCTGAAGCAAGAATATTGATCGTCGTGTACTACCAATGGCATCAAATAGTGTTAAATAGGTAACTTAGTCATGTAATGCCCTAAATAGAACTTGTAATTGAAAAACAAAATTGGTTGCTTAAATACTCAAATCTTTAATTTTCTGTTTATGTTATAACCCAACCGTTCTGTCTGACATTATCCTGGCCTGTCCCTGATCTCTTTAGCATAGCAGGCTCATAACTTTCTGGCTTGATCCGTCATACGAGTATTTCCTCAGCGTCCGAAATGTCATGCAATCCATTGTTTTCCTGTTGTGTGAATCGACGGCTCTCCCGCTCATTGCGTCACGCCCGCCACACCCATTTTCAGACGCGGAAGTAAAGTTTTCTCACAAAAACAACTTCAGAAGCTTCTGTAGCGTATTTATAAGTATATTTTAAAGAAAATCTAGTTCCTACATTGTTTTTTTATGCATTGACTCGTTGGGTCCTCTAACCTGCAATATACCCTTTAAATGAGGCACAGATGTGTTTCTACGAGCGCGCAAGTGTTTGTGGCACAGATTTACCTCCAGATACAGACACGCGGCGAAAGACTCGTTCACGATGAGGTCTCCGTGCTTGAAAGTTGGAAGCTGCAAGATAAATTAATGTGCAATGTTAAAAACACAAGTTTGGTAAATGTCGTGTCTCTGTATGAAACTCTCCGTCTGTCAGAGGCGCACCTGAACTCTGGGGTTGAGCGCCTTCACTTCTGCACACTGATGCTCTTTCTTGTCAAACGACAGAAGTTTGTGATTGTATCCCTGCAGTTTCTTCTCCTCCAGCGCGATCATGACCCTCCAGCACGGCGGAGAGCCGGAGCCCCAGTAAAGCATCATGTTCTTCGCCATAATGTCCAGTTTAATCAGAAATGTCGTTACAGATGACAGATTTTGTTGCGTTATGCGTTTCGAGCTGTGGGCGTGGCCTGTCCGCAAGTTCAAGGAGCATGCGCAGATTATGCTCGTGTGAACTTGACGTAGATAGGCTACTTAAAGGAATAGTTAACCTTAAAAAAAAAACATCCCATAATTTACTCACCCTCAAGCCATCCTAGTGTGGAACCTTGTTGTAAAGTGTTATATTTCAAAGTAAAGGAAAAATTGTTTAAATTTAGTTAAAAAGAGTTAAATGTTCAAATATTTCAGTTATTAAAATGTAATGATGTTCAATTAGCAATAAAAAATAGAATATAGTGTAAATAGTATGTTTTTATTTTTATTTTTTCATTTATATTTCGCTGTGTCATTGTTGACTTTGGTCAGCTTCGAAAGTCCACATGATAATGATGAAGATAACCAGAAGATAAGGTGAAGCTGAAACTGCTCAGTCACTGCAGGATCATCATGAATCATCATCAATGTGTTTATTGTGGAAGATGCGATTTCATATCTCATATTTGTTTCATTACATCTGATTTTGCCTTAAAATGCGCATCATCTCCTATAACTTAAAAGTAGGCTATTTTATTCAAACATTCTGATCTCAGTCAAGTTTTAGCTGTACGCAAGAATTATTGCGTCATTTGTATTTAATTTTTGCAACCAAATAAGAACTTTCTGGGAACATTTTTTAACGAATTCCCAGAACGTGCAGGAAGTTTTTTTGTAATAACCTAAAAATAGCATAACATTCTCTAATGTTATGTTAATAACCATTCCAGAATACGTGTGTTAGTTTCAATTTCATGGACTTTGTTACTGGTTTCCCGGCGGCCAGTCAGAGCTCTGAAATTAGTTTAGCATTTAATAAAATGAAGAAATTTGATCCGTCAAAACACGTAATGACCAGATAATTCCAACTGTTTAGCTAAAATATTAAACCAGGATTAAGCGCAGAAAGATGCGCGCGCAGTCGCGTAATTTAAAAAGTAACGGTCATTTCGTTTTACCGCTGACTGACTGACATTAGTTTATCGATCTGTTTATTGAATTTTTGCTTACAATAAACAGAGAGTAAAATATGATTCGGAGAGATTTACGCCTGGTTGAAGAGTTTGAAATTTATACTGATATACTTTTCGTTTATTTTTCTAATGTCTGTGAATAAATTTTATACTTTTAAAACATATCTTTTAAGTCATTGTTATTTGGTGAATGAGGAAATGTAAAATCTGGGAACCCCTGTGCACATCTTACATATTAATGGACAAATTCAACCTTATTTAATCTTCCATAGTTGATGTGCTCGGATTATTTTCATGAATTCAACAATAACAAGTCTATGATTTGTATAATGATTATAGACGTCCCGGTTGAATTGACTTCCTTTTTATTTAATGAACAAATATGGAAGAATAAACATGATAAATAAGAAAAATTATGTGTATGAACATGAACCAATGCTTGCTTCTATAAAACACTGCGACGGTATGAAATGTAATCGTTTAATTGAAGCCCAGATCCGGCCCACACTGCTGCTGTCTGGAGGTAATCTGCCATCACATTCACATACAATCACAAGCTTTAGAAACGGTTCAAAATAAAGTTCACAAATTAAATGGGCAGACACAAACAGAAGCTGAAAACATCACAAATGAAAGGTGTAGCAAACTAGACAAGAGCTGTGATTTAACAGTTGTAGGTGTGAATTAATTCAACATTTCTTGCATAAACAACTGTTAGAAAACATCACAAGCAATTACTGAATACATCAAAGCTGAACTTATTAATGCAATATTAATGTGATCCGCTGAACGTCTCGATGTTCCTCACAGGTTCTTCAGTGTGTCCTCACCCTCGGGTTTCTCCAGCCATTCCAGAGGCCAGCTGGCCTTAATACTGGGACGCTCCTTCAACATTTCATAATACTCCATCAGTCTGGGACATCTCTCTTTAGGACAGCTGTTAACCAGTCGAACACATCAAACATCATTAAACCAGTCGAACATTAAACCAGTCGAACACATCAAACATCATTAAACCAGTCAAACATTAAACCAGTCAAACACATCAAACATCATTAAACCAGTCAAACATTAAACCAGTCAAACACATTAAACATTAAACCAGTCGAACACATCAAACATCATTAAACCAGTCGAACACATCAAACATTAAACCAGTCGAACACATCAAACATTAAACCAGTCGAACACATCAAACATCATTAAACCAGTCGAACACATCAAACGTTAAACCTTAACCTGATATTATGATTAATAATGCTGTGTAAGGAGGATTGATAATGGTTTCACTCACTGAAGTCGTGGGAAATAGGCGATAACTGGGAAACAAACGACGTCCGCCATGGTGAAGCTCTTGCCGGCCAGGAACGACCCTTTACCCATCTGACCAACAGAACACAGAGTTAATTAGGACCACAAATTCAATTCAACTTCAAAGGACAAGGGTTGATAACAGTTATGGCAATAGTTATCCTCAATTTATGGCATTTATAATGCAATTAATTGCAATAAGAATGAATAACAAGCAGCGAATCAGGTCCATTGTATTAAATCCTTTAGCTAATGTTCCTCTCCGTGATATTTCTTCCGAACGTGACGAGACTGAAGCGCTAAAGTTTGCTGTCATCATGTGATGTTGGGGTCATTTCGTGAGATCGTGAGACTATCGATTAGGGCTGCCCGCTAATAATCGTTTAGATAAGGCTAGTCGAACAAAACTGTTATTAGTCGGTCAGTGGAAGAAAAAACAAAAACCTTGTGGCGAAGTTGCGTAATCCACAGGGGACAGATCGTGAACGGCGTGTTAAGTACAAACCCAAACGTTTGCCTATCATCCATCGACCCTAAACATGGCTTATCATTTGAAACATGCCAGTAGTAGCAGCTTCACATGGCCGCGCGCTATAATGCTAATCTAGATAAATGTGCGCTAGCATTTTGTTACGCGCATATCTAAGTGTGGAAGCTGTTAGCGCTCTTACGGCACAACACTTAAAATCCTGTAATGGTCTTACATCAAGAGTAGCCTAGAACGTCACAGCAAACCGACTCATTTTATAAGTGTGGACTAAAATAACTAAAACGTTGAGCTTTCGTAAAACAATCAGGATGTGCTTTCTCCCGTCTCGGCCTCGGCGAACTTAAAATAAACCGAAACTCAGCGTGGCCTTTCCTCACAGACATGAGAAACACATCTATTCAAAGCTTCAAATGTCTATTTTTTAAACTAACAGATTTGTATTGTTAACAAATATTATGAAATGTTATGAAAGGTGCACTAATGTGGAGATTGATCCCTGCAGCCAAAACAAATTATTCAAATGTTCAGACAGTCTGCCATTCATAATCATTCCTTTTGCTGGTGCGCTGTGGCTTTATGGGTGAGCTATTAATGGCTCATTACTAAGATTTGACTTATAAATATACACGGGATTAGTCGACTAATCACTTAAATGAACGACTACTAGTCGACTAGAAAAATCGTTAGTCGAGGGCAGCACTACTAGCGATCAAGTCACAGATTCCCTGTTTAAAACACAACCTTCTCCAAGTACCCGTCCCACAGCTTCAGCTCGGCGACCAGACTCTCTCGGTTCCTCTTCAGGGCCGACTCGTGACGCTCTCCCTCCGGGACGTAATACTCGTAGAAGGCCACATCATCTGCACACACACACACACACACACACACGAGTCCAGCAGAGAATAACCAGCTGTCGTGCGCTCAATGTGAAGCAAAGCTGCTACCCAAATCAACCACTAGTAGGGCGCTGTTGGACATCGAGTGCAAGAACCATAACGACACGATTGTTTTCTTAATGCAAACCATGAGCAAAGAGAGCATGTGATTGATATAACAGCCAATAAACTACAGAAATTCCTATTATAAGCTATTTTGTACCAGATGAGTGAAGATCTGAGTAGAGACCCGTTATTGTTCTGTTGAAGACCTGTGAACGCTTCTATAAGGAGGCTAATGCTGTATCATACTATAGGCTAACTGTTGAAATCAATTTTATTAATATATCTATGCACTCATTAACTCTTTCCCCGCCAGATTTCCAGAAACCCATGTTTCCACTGTTAAACTGTAGGGGGCGCTATTACACATCATTTGAAAGAGTTCTGTATCTCAGGATCAAACACAGGCAAAGAAGAAGCAGAAACCGGCGATAGAAGCATTGAACCAGCTTTAAACGTACGTTGAGGAGTTAAATCACTTACACATTTTCTGCTGCAGGTTGTTGGTCTCGAACATGCGCTGGTAGACGAGCGCCTGCTCCGCTGGATCCTCCGGGATCAGACGGGTTCCTTGAGACTTGAACGCACTCTGGAGAGAATCATAAGGTTGCAAATAGATTGAATCACAGACCGATCAGCCTGTGATCGATTTCACAACTGTTTTCATGTACTGTGTTTGTATAAAACCTAAAAAAAACTTTGTATAAAACCTTACTATGAACTGACATAGTAATGCAAAAATATGATGGGAGTTTTATTTTAATGTCCTTCACAAAATGGGTTCCACAAGAAAATTTGCGTTCGCACACAAAACCTTTGCGTTCTTTTGCGAGGGATCGCATGCAAAAGTTTCCCAGGGGAACCAAAGCGTTTTATTAATACATGCAATAATATTGACATATTTTTCTGTTTTATATAGATATTTGTGAAAGGCCCTTAACCGTTTAATATGAAAGCATGAATTATGAGATCATTGATTACGTCTTTTTTTACTGAGTATATATTTTTTTTATTCATAAGATTTATAACTCTGTTTGATTTAAATGAGGCACAGATGTGTTTCTGCAAGCGCGCAAGTGTTTGTGGCACTGATTTACCTCCAGATACAGACACGCGGCGAAAGACTCGTTCACGATGAGGTCTCCGTGCTTGAAAGTTGGAACCTGTAAATAATAATAATAATAATAATAATAATAAAAGTGCAGTAGTTTAACAAAAGTTAGTCAAATTTTTGCTCTCTTTGTGAAAGTTGCATGTGTAGTAAACAGCAGAACTCCGTCAACAGGTGTCTGTCAGAGGCGCACCTGAAGTCTGGGGTTGAGCGCCTTCACTTCTGCACACTGATGCTCTTTCTTGTCAAACGACAGATGTTTGTGATTGTATCCCTGCAGTTTCTTCTCCTCCAGCGCGATCATGAGCCTCCAGCACGGCGGAGAGCCGGAGCACCAGTAAAGCATCATGTTCTTCGCCATGACTGTTAATGTCGAGTTTACTCGAGGAATGTGGCTGTAACTGAGCGGACACCAGATTTTGCTGCGTCACATTACTTGGCGTCCGAGGCTGACGTGATGACATCCCGTGGGCGTGGTTTGTTTGCGAGGTCAATAAGCATGCGCAGTTCACAATCTTCGTGTGAAAATGCTCTGTTTCACTTTTAAAATTTTAGTATAAATTCAGGATATGTCTTCTAACATGATCAATCATCATAATGGTTTTATAAAGTCACCAATATGACCTAACAGGTTTAGTTAATTTACTAACGTGACGAAATACATTTATGAAATATCCGTTCTCTCAATTAATTGGATATAATAACAACATTCACGAAACAGTAACATAATTTCGTTTTCAACTCTTTACTGTGATATTTCCCCGTGAGGGGTGCACCGTTCCTGGAAGCACTGCAATAACAGGTCGATGCGTGGAGTGGACGGAGCAAGCCCCTATTCCATCTCCCTGATCCAAAAATCAATTTAATACTTGGTCCCCGGATAGGGGACGTATCAGATATTAAACTGATAAGAACAGATACTACACTTGATCTTAGCCAAAAGGCCGAGAAGCGACACTGAGAAAGGGTTCGAGCTAAAGCACTAACTCAGCGCGACACACACCTCAATGACGGTCACTCGGTCTGAGATCAGGAGAAACTCCTCAAACTACAAACACACACACTCGAGAAATAATGTCCCGCTCGGAGACTGAGAGAAACGCGGAGATTCGCACAAATAACGAGAGAAAACCCTCAAAACAAGCGGATTCAACCGTTAACCCGGAGTTTAACATCGGCCAATCACACACGAGCACAGAGTCCATCGGCCAATCACACACGAGCACAAGACAGTCGCTGTTTTTTGTTAGTGGCAGTTATTAATCACGATCCCTGTATTCCAATTCGCTTAAAAGTATGTAGTCTTTTTGTGAAGAAAAAGTACATACTTTTGAGTGTGTAGCAAAAGAGCAAGCTTTGGGACATACTACGTCATCTTTAACGGACAGATCTGTCGCGTGCTGCGTGCATCCTGTCACCGTAAACTGCCCAACTGCCCTGTCCCTGTCAATCATCTTGTCACAGTTGAAATCCTCCATTCTATTTAATTCGATTTCCTACCGTTTCGGAGCACCTTGGTCTGTCGGTTGTGCAGATACTCTCCTCGTGTTTGCAATTTGAATATAATGATGTATTTAAAAAGTACTGGCTAAACGTATCTTTACAAAAATTCACAGTTCACTCTTAGAATTACCAGATGTAAAGTATAAAATTAAAGAATTAATTGCTAACTGTTGGTATTGGAAAACAGCCACAATTCAAAGCTCTGTTTGTACCAATTGGGGGCTTCTCAAATTTGAGATAAGAGTTTATTTAAGGAAAGTTGGAGCAATCTTATACAAACAGAGAAGATTACTTGAGGACAGTTTGATCTTGAAATGATCTCAAACCTGTAACTTTAGTTGTCTGTCTGTGGAGGAGAAATCTGACGAAATTAGATGATTTATATTATTAAAGATTAGAGGTGCTTATAAGATCCAGGAAAAGATCTCTGCATATTTCTTTAAGCTTGAAAAACAACATTTTTACCCTTTCAACAATTGAGAAATTATGTGTTGATGGCAAAATTGTAAAAGATCCAAAGGATATAGCCATTTTCAGTGCCAATTTAAAAAAAAAAATCTTTATAGTTCAAACTGTATTGAGCAGATATCGACTTATGGAGTCAATTAATAATGTTAAAGCTCTCTCTGAAAGTGATAGATTGTGTTGTGATGGAGTGTTCCTCATGAAGATAAATGGACTTACAGCTGAGCTGGACAAATGATTTGCTGATGAACTTTCTCCTTTTTTAACAAGTGTTTTAAAGAGAGTATTGATAAAGAAGCTTTACCCTCTGGTGACATCACACTAATTTCCAAAGATCTACATTGTTGGACAATTGGCGACCCATCACGCTCCTTAACAACGATTATAAAATATTTGCCATAATATTTGCAAAAAGACTTAAAGAATGTTTAGAGAGCGTTATAGATGAGACTCAGTCTGGATTTATGAAATACCGACACTAAATGAATAACGTTAGATCAGTTTTAGATTTATTTGATTATAGCAATAGTGGAACATACATTTATTCTTTTCCTGGATTTCTATCAAGCTTTTGATTCAGTAGAGTAGTAGAACATCATTTTATTTTTAAATCGGTGCAAAAGTTTGGTTTTGGTGCAAATGCGGTAAGAACTCTTGATTACAATTGTAGTAGTACAATCAAATTAAAATATGGTATACTTCTCCTAGGTTTTACTTGTCACGTGGTATGTCCAATAACCCCTTATTTGTTTTTAGTTTCCCAGATATTTGCTTCTTATGTTTCTGGTCTTTGTGGTATCTCTATTGCTGACCAACAGATCCTCATCAGTCAGTCGGCTGATGATACACACTTTTTGCATGACGCTGACCAAGTCCCGTTAGCACTATATTACCAAAGCTTCAGGCTTATTCAAATTAGAGATCAGGTATCATATTTAGGTATTATCATAACCAAAAATGACCAAGAAAGGTGCTCTGCAAATTTTAATCCTCTAATTGAGAGTAGGCTACACAGAAAAGACTTTATGTGGCTCCAGCGAGATCTGTTATTAAAGGGAAGAAATGTCCAAAGCTGAGGGCTTGTCGAGGTTGTATGTGAATCCAACTTTGAATTTACAAAGGGCCTATAGAAATGTAATTTTTGGTTTTCATGAATGTGAAAAGTGTTATTTATTTTATAAACCTTATTTTTCTGTTAGCTAAATTTCACATTCACAAATAATGCAACTTTTCTAAATCCTCTTTTTTTAAAGATTTAAACATGAAATTAAAATGTATTGAGTTCTCAAAAAACTTAAAAGCTACAAGAACAATTGCTGTGCTTAAGGATTTGGCACTTAATCTGGATTAAGAAGACTGAAGGAACTTAATCTGGACTGGGGGACTCGGCTGTATTAATTTTTTTTGTGAGCATTAAAAACATAAATACATAAAACGTTTCGTTTTTTATAAAAACCGCTTCGTGTTCAAGTTTACAAAACGTTAAGTGGCGTTATTAGGTTAAGAATTTAGACATTTTTTTAAAAAAATTGCGCATCCTCGTTTTAATGTCCCGGAAGTGATGTAGGCGATAATGCGTACGTTACCGATTTACGTTACCGTTAGCCTAGAAATCTAGACGCACCCTAGCGGCAACAAAAATTATTTTGCAGCAAATAATGACATCTTGATGTAGGTCTGGCATGCCAGGCTACGTTACCGTTGCCTTTTGATAATAAAACCGATTAAAAACAACGTATTTCGAATAGTGGTCTCAAAAAGGGTGTCTTTTGATTTGTGTTTAAAAAATCTTATCATCGAGTTCTTAAAATATGATTTTGAACATCTGTTATTCCATTGGGTAGACGCTTGTGTTGCATCACGGGAAATTATTCGCAACAAAATAAAACGATACATCTTTGTTGTTTCTACTGCTGTTTAAAGGTCGATAAACAGCTAAACTTTGAGAGAGAAACGCGCGGAGACATGAATCTTCATCCATATGCCGTTGACTTTATGGAGTGACGTGTCCCTCGCCGTCTCCGAGACGCGTGTTTGCTGAAGTCAGGTTCCCTCAGACTTCATGAGGAGCTCATACTTACCTGGCAGGGGAGATACCATGATCACGAAGGTGGTTCTCCGAGGGCGAGACTTGGCCATTGCACTTTAGGCTTCGTTGACCCTTCCGAATTCTCCAAATGTGAGAATCTCGACTGCAAAATTTATGGTAGTGGGGGACTGCGTTCGCGCTCTCCCCTGATCAACCAGTTAAAAAACAGAAAGAATACTATAAAAATACGTTACAAAATTATTTTTACTCATTGGAGATAAAATATCGCAGTCCAGCTTTAATGATTGAGAAAGATGTTTAGTCGGAAAAACATTCCCTGCACGTCTCCAGTTGACATTTTGTAAAATCCATATTAAACAATAATAAAGTATGTCTGAGGATAACCAGCCACGGCTGAACTCATAAGCATACAACGTAGCATTTCGACTGAATCGAAGAGAAAATCCAATAAAGTCAAGGGTACAAGCTTGTGTCTATTTTTGCAAATCAGATCGTCCTCAAAAAGACGAGTTAATATTTAGACATGTTAGTTTCAAATACTTTTTTAAAGAAAAATACTGAAGGAAATCATCATAAACCTATATATAAACACCTTAAACAAAAAAAAAAACAACTTTCTAAACATTTCGAGAAGTCACGTTCAAATATTCAAGTTTGTTTGCCATTTAGAGGGACTCAAGGTACTCCAAAAACAGATAATTAAAAGGTTTAATTGTAAAGATACTCACGAGTGTCCCTCGAATTTGTAAACTTCAGGGGAACGGACGGAGATCATCATTACGAATAACAAGCCGCCATCTTTAGATTAGTCTGAACATCCGTTTTCACGTAGCTCTGTGTATTTTTATGGCAATAACTGGTGAACTAGATTTACTTATTGTAGAGCTACCTAAACGTATTATGAGCATTGTAATGTTTGAAGTTTAGCAGGTAGATTTTCAAACGAGCGGTTCATAAATCTACTCTAATACAACCAATAAATAAATAATACATGGAAATACAAACCAGAAGACTGGACAATATGATGCTGAGAAACTTTCATTAACTTTAAATTGAAATACAAAATAAATGGTCTTTTTGCTACTTTTATCTCGACTATATGAGCAGTTATAAAGGGCTAGCGTCACAGAATGGATTTTTTTTTTTGGGCAAAATAAAAGAGTATTTGTTTAAAATAATAATTCTAAATATACCTCAGAATGGTGTGTATCAATGGAAATCAAGTTCTAAAACACTGATATAAGACGACAAAAACAAATTAAAATAATTATGAACTTATTAAGGGCATCAATTAAACAAAGGCAAAATTCATACTTTTTAGTGTGTTTTGACAAGAGAATAAAAGCAATATGCGAATGTAAAAGCTTAAATGTGTACGCTCTTGTACGATTTACTAATATATTTGAATTAAGATACAAACCTGCTAACTTTAGGAACATGATGAGTTCACTCTGTTTGTACATCTCTCTCCGTGTGCTAATTGTGGAATGGGAACTATATTTACATAATTTGTGATTACTTTTGATTACTGTTGTCTAGATACAGGGGGTGGCTCTTTTTACCCACAGGCTGAGAAACTAAAACAAACAAGTCTTTGATATGGTTTTGTTCGTTAATTTCTTAAAGTGTTTCACAAATTACATAAATTGTGTAAATATAATTCATCATTTTAGCTTTCAAACTGATCAACAGTTACTGTGAATAAATGACACAGTCTCATCATATATTTAGTTCACTTGGTAAAGAGATTGCCGATCAAAATCAGCTAAACACATGATGTCCACAGCCGTTTTACTGTACTCTTACACAAAGAAACGGGTCATATTTCACACACGTCATGCTCATAACAAATGAACACGGATACAGAATAAAGGAGAACGGAGACCAAGGCACTTTTCAAATATTATATTAATCTTTATTTCAGTTTTGACAAAATACCCATAAAATCCAAAGCTCCTACCTTTACAAAAATATGTCTTCTACAAATGTCCTCGGGTCTTTTCAAGGGAGCGAGCGAATAAAGCACAGTGTAGAGTACCTGACAACATTACTAGCTAGCGAAGCTTCGCCGCACGCCCCGCCGTCCTCCCGCTAGTGTTCATGAGGTCATCAAGAGCCGATAGCAGCCGTCCTGTTCACCACACAACTCTTCTTAAATTAATCAACTTAAATTAGCATTCCACAAATATACAGTAACAACATGATTGTTTTCCATTAACAACAAATAAGGTAGAACTAATGTACAGATGTTGAAGCCGTTTCAAGTGCCGCCAACAAAAAGCTTGATTATAAGATGATACACACACACACACACAAAAACAACGTCTTTTTGGTCCCACAGACATGTATAGCAAGAGTATAAAAGCACAGCAGCTCCGCACGAGAGAAGGCAACCGAGATTCTTCAAGCCAGTTTGAATGTAGATGAAGATCTTTATCTTCTGACTCCAAAGTGCAATTGAGCGTACGAGGAGGAACCTGCAGGACACAGATCAACATCAGCATGAAGTCGCAGTCATTCAGTTCACATCAGTCACATCAGCAATATTATATTCATTTAGGGTTGAGAATCGAGTTCTTGAGGTCAGGAATCTGATACTTGTTCTAAAATAAAACTGTAGATTCGTCTTATCGACTCAGTGTGAGTTAGCGAGAGACTCACACGTGTGTATCAGTATACTGGAGCAGTGCAGCTCTTAACCCTTGTGCATCAATTTAAAAAAAAGTTACATATAGGTAAAAAGAGGACAAAAATGTCCATGTCAAAAAACTGTCGTAAAAATGTGACGCTTCGGAGAACAAACTTAAGTTTGGTATCATTGTAAAGACCCTTTGCAGATTATTGCTGAAGTAAAACAATAATAATGATAAGTAAATCCAAAAAAAGTTATATAGGTATAAGTTAAATATAACAAATATTTTATATAAAATATATATTTTATAAATCAGGTTGAACTCAAAACTGCAATAAAATCAAAGCCATAAATCTAAATAGGTTGTGTTCCAAATTTCTCAAAAAATGAGCTTTGGGTAACAGTTTGTTTGGGTGTAGTAACATATTTTCCCCATTGGGTGGCAGCAAAACCCCACTGCAGCTCACAGTGACTGGATTTGTTATTTGCAGTTTTTCTCTCTCATTATTATATTTTTTTATAACACACATACTAACCACACTCTGACATCCATACCAACACACCCACACAAATATCGTTGCATAATTTATCCCGTTGGCTCTATAATATGCCGAAGCAGAAAACAGGAATAAAGCGATATTTGTTTTATAGGCCAAACTTAAAAAAAAAATGACACCATCAGATAAAAAAATAGTAAAATAAGCCTTGGCATCAGAATGAAAGCCTCTTAACAAAGATTGCATAATTTTATAGTTGACTGAACCGGGGATTAAAAATGGCAGTTTTCAATGGGGACATTTTTGTCCAAAAGGCGCTGAGAGGGAGTATTTTTTGTACCGAATGCAAAAAATATTTTTTTAAGAAAATGACGATGAAATAGTAAAATTCCAATAAAAATACACACCAAGTTGTTTTGCAGTTAGCTTTAACACAGGCAAAGTGATCAAAAAAACAAAACTGTCCATCAGGATGCAGAAGGGTTAAAGTGACAGAAGCCGTCTATAATAACACTGATCAGAGAAAACTCACTCGATCTCGACTGAATAACTTCTGTTAATATATTTGTACTATCTGTCATTAACGGTGATCACCTGACTGCACACTTCCCAGGCGCCTCTGCAGGGCCTCCAGGCGTGAGATGTAGTCGGTGAGAGCGCGATCCGGGTCGTAGTTCTGCAGGTGGGAACACGGTAAACCTCCGGGCTCAGCGGCCATACTGAGATACCTGGAGAGAGACGCGACACACTCATCAACATCCTCCTGTCCACGCGTGATGATGATGAATACACTGCCCAGACGTATAAAACAGGGTCTATACAGGCGAGTGCTGCGTTTATGTGTCCATGTGGTGTTTTTAAAACGCTTTCAGACACACCATGTGTAAAGCCTGTGTTTGGGCTTGAGTTGTGTGTGTGTGTGTGTGTGTTCATGATGGGCTGAGTGTGTGCGCTGTACCTGTGCTGCACTGATGGGGTGGATCGAGGCGAGTCTCGTCCCGTACGGCCCCGGCTCGTCCCCCGCCGCTCTCTGAACACCTCAACGCTCCCGGGCTGCAGGAATGAAGACTCGTTCCTCACATCCGCACCTGCACACACACACACACACACACACTCAGTGAGCTTCAGAGGGCAACATGATATATACACACTAGGGTTGTCCAAAGTACTGACTTCGGTACCAAGTCAACACTAGAATTATTAAAAATGTGAGGCTTTGAGCGGGATCATAAACACCTCTGATTGGCCGTGGTGCTCACGAGCTCATTGGATATGCCTGTGATTGGCTACAGTGATCAGCACTGTACATCAGTGAACTGTACATCAATGAGGCTCTTTAGTTTGAATATCCCCAACTGAGCAAGCCAAAGGCAACAGTGGCCGAAAAACTCCATCAGATGACCCGATGATGTCCTAAAACTCCATCAGATGACCCGATGATGTCCTAAAACTCCATCAGATGACCCGATGATGTCCTAAAACTCCATCAGATGACCCGATGATGTCCTAAAACTCCATCAGATGACCCGATGATGTCCTAAAACTCCATCAGATGACCCGATGATGTCCTAAAACTCCATCAGATGACCCGATGGAGAAAAAACCCCTTGGGAGAACCCAGTTCTGCTCTGGCGTTTATGAACTAGAGGCCAAATTTACAGTAACTGTAAGATAAAAAATGTATATGAAAGCCAGGATAAATAAATGCAAAACCGTGGGGAAACCGAATCGTCAGTTTTGTGTATCGTTACACCCCTAACACACACACACACACACACACACACACACACACACACACAGGGATGAACAGGATGCAGTCACCTGTGACCTGGCTGAGGCCGTTTCTGCTGACGATCGCAGTGCTCACGGTTCCTCCGGCTCTCTGCCATCTCTTCACCAGAAACCTCATCCTGCAGAACACACACACACACACACACACACACACACACACACACACACACACACCCAATAAAACCAGTTCAGTAAAGGAAAATAAACCATTTTACAATAAAAGCAAAACTATCACAAACAATTAAATCATACAAATATAAAATATTGGTAATTACCAAAAAAAAAAAATAGAGCACAAGTGTGTGTGTGTGTGAGAGAGAATGACTGAGTGTGTGTGAGAGAGAAAGTGTGTGTGTGTGACTGAGTGTGAGAGTGAGTAAGTGAATGTGTGTGTGTGTGTGAGGGTGAGTGTGTGTGTGTGTGTACCGTGAGAGGGCGATGCAGACGCGCACAGCCGATCTGAAGCGTGTGAAGCCCCTGCGCTGACGGCCGATGGACTCCAGACTGGTGTGTGAGTGTGTGTGTGTGGGCTGGCCCCCCATGCGTGCGATCAGAGACAGCGTGGCCTCCTCACACTCCTGAAACCCCCCCAGCAGAAGCAGGAGATACTTCTTCTGATACACCAGAGCCTTCCGGAAGCTCTCGGCACGCAGGTATTTCCCATACAGCCTCTGTGGACACACACACACACACATCCAGATCACACACTGACACACAGCTTTACATGCACTACTTTTGTGCTTTTTTCCAAGGACTACAATCAGAGATCTTATTAATCATCTCTTTATTATCTTCTAAATCCTGAAAAGGTAAATAGATAAATTACACTAAACTAATAATAAAGTGCAGTGACTGCGGGGAGTTTAACCAGTGGAAGGACGCGATGATAAAGATATCGCTCTCCTTATTCAAACTGATTTTATGATTGACATGAAGAATGAAGGCTCGATATGAGCAATATCATAGCCATGCCAAACTCTACATCTCTGTCAGACGAGCGGTGCGATCAATAAAATTAAAAAACATCCCCCATATAATGATTTTCAATCATTTCAAGAGCTTCTTCATGATAATGGCTGTCTTCAAGGGGTTTCCAGGACTTAAAAATCAAAAGGTCGAGGATTTTGATCAGCGTGTGACACGGTCAGACGTGTGTGTGTGTGTGAGGAGCTGCACCTTGAGGGCCGTGTTGTCGGGGTCGGCCCCGGTCAGGTCCCGCAGTGTGTCGGAGCGGATCTCGGCTCTCAGACGGGTCAGCTCTGCCTCGGCCCGACCCACGGCCTTCTGCAGCCGGCTCCTCTCCTGAGCCCAGGACTCACGCTCACTCGAGAACAGCACCAGCTCCTGCCGGCCCGAACCCTGCCGAGCACACACACACACACACGGTCAATCCTGCATCACCAGCGCTGAGACGGACTCTGCTGTGCTGAGGAAAACAGAGGCAGTACGCAGAGCCAGCTCACTGTCAGAAACATGGAAGGAAAAAATAGATCGAAAATAAAATGAACAAAAAAAAGAGAGAAAAGAAAACACATCACAGCAGAGAATGCAATCGAAGTGCTGCACAGGGCGTAAAGTCTCCGTGCTCTTTGGCTGCTTGGGATAGTTGTGTTTGAAATCAAAATAATAATCCAAGGCACTCGATTTATAGTACAAAAGTTAAAAAGCCTTTATTAGTTCATGGCTTTAATTCATAAAATTGGTGACAGAGACACCTACACGTTGCGGCTCATGCCTTCGTCAGGGTGTGTGTAACAAACAAAGTCACAGGTGCGTTTTAAGTAGCAGTTGATTAGTCTCAATACTGTGCAACGTTAGGGAGCAGAGTTCAACAGATAGCATAATATCCTACAACATCAACTCTGAAAAAAAAAATAAAAATGAAAAACTACTACTAAAAAAAATTTATGTAACACAAGTGTAGAAAAAAAATAATGTTTTTTTTATTACAAAAATTTTTTTTTATTACAATTATTATACAAATAATATTTTTTTAAATTAAAAAAAAATTAAAAAAATTGATGTATATAGAATTTTTTTCTACACTTGTATTACATACATTATTTGTTTTTTTATTATTATTATTATTTTTTTTTTTCAGTTTTTTTTTCAGAGTTGATGTTGTAGGATATTATGCTATCTGTTGAACTCTGCTCCCTAACGTTGCACAGTATTGAGACTAATCAACTGCTACTTAAAACGCACCTGTGACTTTGTTTGTTACACACACCCTGACGAAGGCATGAGCCGCAACGTGTAGGTGTCTCTGTCACCAATTTTATGAATTAAAGCCATGAACTAATAAAGGCTTTTTAACTTTTGTACTATAAATCGAGTGCCTTGGATTATTATTTTGATTTCAAAAAAGAAAACACATTCAGACAAAAAAATAATAGACCAGAAAAAAATTCAAACAGAAAAAATTTATAAAATACAAAAAGCAAAAAAAAATAGAAAAAAAAACTGACTGATTGATTGATTGATAGATATATTGACTCACGCTCTCGGCGACGGCCTTCTTCTGTCTGCTTCGGCGCAGCTCGTCCTCGAGGTTCAGTAACTGGTTTCGTAAGTCGTTCTTCTCTTCGGTCAGTCGACTGACGAATCCCGTGAGCTCTGCGTTCTGGCGGAGTAAACGCTCATTCAGCAGACTAGAGGATCCTCCAGCCAGCAGAGCGGGGCTCTACACACACACACACACACACACATGAGATCACCTGCATAATAACACTCAATTAATAACAATAATCAATTATGAACCTTTATAATGCAGTGATAATGATCGATAGTGCATAATAATGTACTGACGCTAAAGGTCCTCCAACACCGCCTCCGAAACTTTTGTCCGTCATAAAAAAAATTAGTACCGGGTTCGATTTACTGCGTTTTTCGCAGTTTGAGAGGAGTTCTGACAAATGAGAGCCACCGAATGACGAATACGAAAATTTCGTCGAATACGAATACGGGAGTTTTTATATTCATAACCTAGAATACAGTTCAGCAACATCACACGACCAAGAGTGCATCTCGACTGATCATGTGACACTGATTTCATACGACAGCGATTGATCAATAGACAAGTCGTTAATATTAAGTCAGTTACGTTTTAGACGAAATATTGACTGTTTTTGTTGTATTTTAGCAGCGAAAATAGTTACTCTCACTCCTGTTAATGATTCAGTGTTTTGAACGAATCGGTGGAGTCAAAGATTCACTGACTCCTTCTCAAACAACTGCCTCATTCTTGATGAATCAGCTGTTTGAATGAATCGTTTGAATGAACGACTCATTAAGTTGCCTCTTATCACCCGCATTTCTGCGCTCAATATCAACCAATCAAATCCGTTTACAATTATTTATTTAAGTCAGACCAAACACATTTTAATGTTTATTCAGGAGGTATGCATAAACAAAATGATAACTTCTGGTAACAGTAGCCTATTGACGTGGAGTTGGTGATCTGATATATCTGATATCTCCAATCTAATTGGCTGGCTACCAGAACACAAATATGAATATTTATTTATAGCATAATCAAATATGTATTTACAAAGCCACACAAGCTGACTGTTTCCCGAATGAGTGTAAATGTGCTCGCTCACCTCCGGTAGAGCAGAAGGGGCTGATGGGATACGCTGCAACAGTGACATCACATCCTGTACATTACTGTGAAGCCACGCTAGACTTTCACGGTCAGGCCCTTCTCCAGATAACCTGTAAACACACACACACACACACACACACACAGTTGCTAGGATGTTCATGTTGTTGTTAGTGAATTACTATTCTGTTGCTAAGGGGTTGCCTTGCTGTTGCTAGAATGTTCTGAGTGGTTGAGTTGCTAAGGTGTTGCTAGGGTGTTTGGAGTGGTTGTAGTAAATTTTTGTAGAGTTACTAAGGTATTGCTAAGGTGTTTGAAGTGGTTGTGTTTATTGAGTTGCTTAGACGTTGCTAGGGTGTTTTTTTATAGTACATTTTTTAGTTGCTAAGGTGTTGATAGGGTCTTTTGAGTGGTTGTAGTACATTTTTGTAGAGTTGCTAAGGTGTTGCTAAGGTGTTTGAAGTGGTTGTATTTATTGAGTTGCTAAGGCATTGCTAGAGGGTTTTGAGTGTTTGTAACACATTTATGTTGAGTTGCTGTGGTGTTGCTATGATGTTTGGAGTGATTGTATTTATTGAGGTAAGGCGTTGCTAGGGTGCTGTGAATAATTGTAATAAAATATTATTGAGTTGCTAAGATGTTGCTAGGGTGTTTGGAGTGGTAGCACATTTTTTAGTTTCTAAGGTATTGCTAGGGTGTTATTGAGTTGTTTAGGCATTTATGGGGTGTTTGGAGTGGTAGTACATTTTCTGAGTTGTGAAGGCGTTTCTAGGGTGTCTGATCACTTTGCAAAGTATCAATACTTTTGTGACATCACTAGCCCTAACTTTGAGCAGCAGATAGTTGATGCGTGGTGTCGTACCTGCCCGTGGTGTCGCTGGTCAGGCTGTTGATCCTGGTGGCGATGAGCTGCAGTCGGCTGAGGATGGGGTCAGTGTGCTGACCAGTGTGTGTCGTAGCATCTGTCGTCTCCTGCTGCAACACCCAGTCCCGGGTTCGATCCGCAGGCCGAGCGTCTCTCAGCTTCTCCTCCAGCTCTCTCACTCTCTCCAGCAGTCGGTGTCTCTCTCCCTCCAGCTCTCTCACTCTCTCCAGCAGTCGGTGTCTCTCTCCCTCCAGCTCTCTCACTCTCTCCTGCAGTCGGTGTCTCTCTCCCTCGAGGCTCCTGACGGTGTCTCTCTCCGTGTCCAGCTCCGCCCGCAGCTCTTCCACCCGTCGCCCCAGTGCATTCTGGTCCTGCTGAAGTGAAGACCTCTCCTCGTCCCACTGTCGTTTGCGCTGCACCGCGTCCAGTTGGTGCTTCTCCAGCTCCTCCATCATCTGCACCACCTGCGCCTGCTTCTCCACCAGCTGCGCCTGCAGGAGAGACTCCACCGAGAGCACGCCCGCCTCCACCTGCGCACACCAACACCTTGCTAGTGGTGGAGCTTGCAGTATTTATTTAGGGAAGTAAACATGTTTGGTTCGTCTGGTTACCTGGAGTGTGTGTGTCCCAGAATCCTGTGCGTTTGACGCGGAGCTCGTCTGGATCAGCCGGAGCAGCTGTGCGTTGAGCTCCTTCTCTTTCTCCAGAGCACTGCTGATCTCTGCGGCCCGAGCTCTCTGAGAGTCTAACTGAACCTGCACACACACACACACACCTTCAGAGTTACTGGATGAGCGAATGCAACCAGGAAAACGTTCCTGAGGGAACCATTAGTTCTTGGGGAACCGGCCACCTATAACTCCCCGGTGCGAGAGCCACTAATGACCCAAACACAAGCATTACGTGTGCTAGCGGACACACACCTGCAGCTCTGAGGAGACGCCAGCCTCCCGCTCCTGATCTCTGAGCCGAGCCGAAGTCTCTCTCTCTCTCTCGAGGGCGATCGACAGCTCGACCACACGCCCTCGCTGATCTTCCAGAGCCAGTTTGAGATCCTGCAGAGACCAATAACACATCAACACAAGCCATAGAGACAGAGCGACACGTGTAATAATCTGAAAGCCACGCCCAACCGTCTCCATTGACTGTATATTGTGTGAAGCTGCCTCCATGTCATTTCTGAAGCTGCCGTGTGAAGGGGTGTACAGCAAACAAGCAAAAAAACCCAGAACTAAAGGTGATGATACACAGGGCGACTTTTTGAGCAATGTTGCCGTCAGCGGGGAAACAGATGAGACACGGCCCATGACCCATCTAAATTATCCACATAGAAATGTATTGCATTTTTAATGAGAAAGTGCCCAAGCAACAATCGCTCAGCAAGATTGCTCAAAATGTTGCCCTGTCAATCATCACATCAAGTGTTTATTAGAACCAGACCGATATTATCGGCCGATATTAGGCATTTTCCAAACTATCGGTATCGGCAGTTATAATGGCCGATAAATGAATATTTAAAAAATAAAATAAAAACGGACGAAACACGCTTGAACCATGTCACGAGTGTTGGAGTTGTATAGTTTGTCCACCAGAGGGCGCTCTACACCGTCCCTGTTGGCAACACTCGTTGAGTTGGTCACGAGACATACATTGCTTGAATAACAATTAAAAGAACATCCCCATCAGTTCTCGTAACTCAAATAAGCATGACAAAATTTGTGACCATCATGTCCAGTTTAAAATATATAAATAAATAAAACAAAATATCGGCCGATATATATCGGAATATCGGATTTTAAAACCCAAAAATATTTGTATCGGTATCGGCCTTCAAAATCCTTTATCGGTCGGGCTCAAGTGTTTATAAGCTGTTGACTCGGATCGGATGGGTATCACTGGCAAGTAAAATATCCAAATGTCAGTCGCCGATTTTGTTCACCTCCAGTAGGTGTATGACACATTGCTCTGTCTCAACTGTCTGTATCCACTTTTGTGTCCTTAAACGCTTGTTTTTTGGGGTCGGCAGCTTATAAACACTTAGTTCTGGGTTTTTTAGCTTGATTGCTGTACACCCGTCACATGGCAGCTTTTAGACATTGTTTTGTTTCTTGTTATAAGTCAGAGAGACTCAATGGATTTCACCTGTGATTGACAGATTGTTTACCTCCACTTCCTCTCTCTCGCTCTCCTGCTGCCGGTCAGACTTGCACTTCTCCTTCTCGTACGCCCACTGCATCTCTCTCGCTCTCTTCTGCTCGTGTGCCAGTGTGTCGTTCAGTGTGTCGACCTCAGCGGCCTTCAGCGAGACCTCCACCCTGCCAGAGCACATGGGTCACACACACACACATTCCTCATTTATATAAATAATGTTGATATATATATATATAAAATGCAAACTACAAATAATAATATTAAGCATGTGTGTGTGTGTTACCTGAGTGTGTCGAGCTCTTTCAGGTGTTTGCGTTGTGATTTTAAAGCGCTCTCTAGCTCTAGTTTAGTCTGGCTCAGTTCAGTCTTGATCTCCTCCAGCCGATCGGAGCCGGACCCGACCGATGTCCCGACCGGCGCCGGTTCTGCCTCCCTCACGCTCGCCGCTCCTGATCAACACAGGAGAAAACCTCGATGAAGTGAAGCTGAAGCTAATCTTCATCACTGAAGTCATTAGAGTCAGTGTGTGTCGTACCGGTAGTGTCCACATGGTGGCGCTGTGTGTGTGCAGACGTGAGCGTGTGAAGCTGATCTCTGAGCTGATGGATCTCCGAGCGCAGGCTGCTTCTGTCTGCCGAGCTCAACACACACATGCCCTCGCTGTGCCGGGCGTCCTGCGCACAACACACACACAGGTCAGCAGGTTAAACATCTCCTACTCTAGGCCGTCTCAGACGAGCTGAAACTCACTCATCTTACTTAGGTTTAATAATGTGGTGTTATTTTTATGTACAGCACCTGGTGTGGCACGAATCACAGCTGTTGGTTTGTTGATAAGTATTGGGACTATTTTCATGGCAAACAATTCCTTACATTTTAAAACACTGCATCAAACATTTCAACCTGACACAACGGGAAATTGAAAATGCTAAACACAGCTGTAATTAAAGCGCAAGATGTTTTGTAATTATTGCAGTAAAACATTAAAGCTAGTAAGGTACGAATCCAAAATAATGAGTGTTATTTCAGTATCATTAATATACTGTTGTAGTGTTTATGAATATTTTGAATTAGTTTAAAATGTTACATATATTTGTTTTTTATTTTGGTAAAAAAAAATTGTAATTTTGTTACATTTTTAATGGGTCTATATAGTTTGTATTAATTTTTATGTTAGTTTTAGTTTTAGCCGGCAACAAGCTAAAATAAAAATAAAAATCTCATAACATTTATTTTGAGATGTATATTATAATTATATTTTATATATATTATATGTAATAAATTATATATATTTATTATATAATATATAAAAAATAATTCTAATATATTATTATCAATAACATTATATATATATATATATATATATATATATATATAGTTTATTTATTTTATGGTTTATATAGATGGATATATATATATATATATATAGATATATAGATATATATATATATATAAAATATAATTATAATATAAATATTAAATGCATTATTTACATATAACATATATTATAATATATCATCAATATACTGTATATATATTATATATCTATATGAGAACCAAACTGACCTATATAGATATACCGACCTCATATAGATATATTTCTATATATATATAGAAAATGAATTTTTTTTTATTTTTTTTTATTTTACTCAAAATTTTTTATATTATATTTTAAGATTTTTTTTTAATAGTTTTAGTTTGTTAACCACAATAACCCTGTTATTAATAATAACTCTTGCTCTATCATATACAGTAACACACTCTTGAGTAAGTGATGAATGCAGTATATAAATCAGAGACCCTCAAAGAAACCCAACACGTCCATCCCACACAGAGCCGCCCAGTGATGAGGAGTGGCGCTGGCGTATGCTAACGACGGCGTATGCTAACCTGCTCCGCTAGCGCTCTCTCCAGCTGGCTGAGATGAACGACGGCGTCAACGGTGTCCAGTCGCTCCAGGTGAGAGTATAAAACACTCTTCAGCGCGTCTCGCTCGTGAACAAACACCTGCTGAACGGCGGATAGCAGCTCCGCTCGCCAGTCGCCGTCGACCTGCACACACACACACACTTCAACATCTGAACCAGCACAAGACCTCAGGCAGGATTCAAAACAAAACGTGGATCATTTTAAAATGCAGACACACCACTAGGGTTGAGAATCGAGTTCTTGAGGTCAGGAATAAAACTGTAGATTCGTCTTATCGACTCAGTGTGAGTTTCAAACATTCAGGCGAGAGACTCACACGTGTGTATCAGTATACTGGATCAGTGCAGCTCTTAAAGTGACAGAAGCCTGATATTCCTGCCATCTATAATAACACTGATCAACAGAGAAAACTCACTCGTTCTCGACTCAATAACTTTTGTTACTAAAAGTTTGTTAATAAACTGCTGTTATTTTACATTTGATTACAGTTTCTGTTCCTGAAAATCTTAAATCACGGTTTATTTCAATCGTATCTTTGTTCAGTTGCGTCTATTTGCTGCGATTGCTAATGTTTTATTTGTTCTTTTTCCTGAGTGTTTATTGTCTTTAAAGGGTTAGTTCACCCAAAAATGAAAATTAAGTCATTAATTACTCACCCCCATGCTGTACCAACCCCGTAAGACCTTCGTTCATCTTCGGAACACAAATAAAGATATTTTTGATTGAATCTGAGGGCTGGATCACTTTTCCATAGACAGCCTGAGGGACTGCCTCTTGACGGCCCAGAAAGTCATTAAAAGAAAAGGTTTAAATATTCCATGTGCCTACAGTGGCTCAACTATAACTTTATCAAGCGACGAGACTACTTTTTGTGCGAAAAAAAACGTAAATAACGACTTTATTCGACTTTCCATTACTTCCTTATGGGCGCATGCGCGAGAACTGAGACGAGACCGTTCTTCTTCGACTACTTTTTGTTACCGGCTGCTCACCGCTTAGGAGTTTTACCGCCCCCTACCGTTTAAGATGACGTACTGCTTGTAAACAGAACGTTTTGCGCCTCCGGCTATATCAGTACGTCATCTTATACGGTGGGGGCGGTAAAACTCCTAAGCGGTGAGCAGCCGGTAACAAAAAGTAGTCGAAGAAGAACGGTCTCGTCTCAGTTCTCGCGCATGCGCCCATAAGGAAGTAATGGAAAGTCGAATAAAGTCGTTATTTACGTTTTTTTTCGCACAAAAAGTAGTCTCGTCGCTTGATAAAGTTATAGTTGAGCCACTGTAGGCACATGGAATATTTAAACCTTTTCTTTTAATGACTTTCTGGGCCGTCAAGAGGCAGTCCCTCAGGCTGTCTATGGAAAAGTGATCCAGCCCTCAGATTCAATCAAAAATATCTTTATTTGTGTTCCGAAGATGAACGAAGGTCTTACGGGGTTGGTACAGCATGGGGGTGAGTAATTAATGACTTAATTTTCATTTTTGGGTGAACTAACCCTTTAATAACGCTTGAAGTGTGTGTTAGTTCGGCTAGTTGTGTTTAAACCTCAGGCAGACGCTGCGTGTGTACGTGTTCTTCAGCTGATGATCTGCTCATGATATTCAGTCACATGTTCTGCAACAAGACTAAATGTGAATGATATCCACGTGTTTTTCTTTTTCTAGGAATGGATGAGGACTGTGGAGTGTGTGAGGTGGTGTGCTCACCTGTGTGTGCGCCTGCAGTCTGCTGATGAGGAGCTGCAGCGAGTCCACGGTGTGTATGAGGGCGTCTCTCTCGCCGCTCGCGCCTCGATCCGCTCCACACGCCGGCAGCTCGGACAGCGACAGCACCTGCATGCCCTCCCGATGGACCTCGCGCAGCAGACTCTGAGACGACAGGGGTCAGGGGTCACACACACACTAAACTGGACTTTTAAATCGTTACTTTTATGGTTTCCAAGGACTATAATCAGAGGGTTTACTCTCCCACAAGTCATCCTAGGTGTGTCTGACACGCACAACTGGCGTAAATCAAGCAAGCTAGTGCACATAAGCGATAAATTCAAGCACTTTCAAGGGCCTGTATCTGTGTGTGTTTATTATCAAGGGCCTTAAAAATGTTTTTTTTTTTTGTAAAATTCACAAACTTTCAAGGATTTCGAGGACCTGTGGGAACCCTGATTATAAGGTCAGCATACTTCACATCCAGGAGCGGTAGGATAGGGCGTTTATCAGACGGACAGCAGTGTTAACAGCGTGAAAATATTATATTAGCCTTTTTCCAAAAAATAAAACTGTATTTCATGTGTATATTGTATTTAAATAAGTAAAGCACCTCTTCCTAACTATTTAAGGGTTTTCCAGGACTTCAATTTAAGAAAGTCAAATTCAAGTACTTTACTTGGGTCACAGGTCACAGGTCAGGTCATTATTACATTACATCCGGATCCGGGAAAGCTCACCTTGACCCGGTCTGGCAGGAGGTCCGGCTCCGGGTCCCGGCGCGCGCCCTCGGGTGTGCTCCTGTTCTCCTGCAGGTGAGGGTGATCCAAACCTGTGCGCTGGCTCCAGTCTGAACTGCTGTCTGTTACACACACACACACACATTTAGGAAATTGATTATGACAAAATTAATAAAAGTTATACTTCTATTCCCAAAGGACACATTAAACTGATCAGAAAGTGTCAGTAAAGACATCTTACAAAAGATTATATTTCAAATAAATGCTGTTCTTGTTCATCAAAGAATACACTCTGATCCAGCACTGATAATAATCATAACTGTATAACATAATCATAAATGTGTGTTGATCATCAGATCCTCATATTAGAGTGATTTCTGGAGGATCATGTGACACTGAAGACTGGAGTAATGATGATAAATTCAGGAATAAATGACACTTTACTGTATAATCACGTAGAGAACAGACGATTTACACTGGAACAATATTTCACAGTTTTAATGTATTTCTGATCAATTAAACGCAGTCTTGATGAGCAGAAGAGAATAAATCATCTGTATTATTCCACAGTTGTGATGAAGATCTCACCGCTGGCGTATCCGTCTTTAAGCGGAGCGGCGGCGGGGCGCTCTGACCTCACCGGGGGACCCTGCAAACACACCTGAGATTACACACGATCCACAACACACACATCTATCTTAACTTATAGGTGATGTTTAAAAACAGATTTTTTCCCCCTTAAAAATGTATGTTCATCAGTGCATGTTATTTAAAATGAATACAATGTTTTTCTTAATGTTTCGATATTTTTACACCCTCAGATTCCAGATTTTCAAATAGTTTCCACACATCAATGGACAGCTTATTTATTCAGCTTTCATCTCAATTTCGGGTTGTGTGGCCCAGGGTCACATATGAAGGTGTGTGTGTGTGACTGGCTGCTTACATGTGAAGGTGTGTGTGTGACCTCGGCGGCTGTGAGCTTGTCGATGGCGTCTCTCAGCGCTCGGCTCTCCAGCTCCAGCTGCCGGTTCTCCCTCTTCAAGCTCTCGCTCTCGGAGATGTGCCGGGCCTCCATGTCCATGATCTCGGCCGCGTGCAGCTCCCGCATCTGCCCGATCTTCTCCGAGAAGCCCGAGATCAGCTCCTGCACGTCCTCGGCTCTGCTCGGGTCGCTCTGCGTGCTCGCGTCCACACGCGACTGAGGCGAGCTCTCGGATTGGTCCGTGGAGGTTCGGTGAGGAAGGGAGGGCGTGACTTTACTTGCGTCAGCACTTTTGTTTATCCCATGATGCTCTCTGTTGTCTCCGTTTTTCCCTGCTTTGGTTTTAGGCTGAGACTGCGGCTGTTGTGGAGGCTCCTCAGATCTGGCCAAAGCGATCTGCAGCTCGTGAACTTTGACCCTCAGCTCAGCAATGGACCCGTCTCTGACCTGAGAGAGACACGAAGAGCTTATCACCATATATCTGTTATTTCTATAAAAGATCTGGAGTAAAGTCCAGGTTTTAGCCTTTAGTTCTGTGTGAAAGAACAACTGGCATCATTTTGTAAAATTAAATTGAAATAATTTAAAATAAAAAATCTAAATAAAACACTAGCTAAATTATTAAATCATACAAATGTAAAATTAAAATTAAATACATTTTTTTTATATTAAAATATAAAATTAACATTTTTTAAATAAAAAAACAATAAGAATGTACAATTAAAAAGAAAAAAATAAAATAAAATACTTGCTAAAACGAATTAAATCAAATATAAAATAAAAAATAAAATACTAAAAATATATTCAATCAAAAATATAAAAAGAAATTTAAAAAGGAAATTAAAAAGTTTTAAAAATGAGTAAAATATTAAGAGTGTACAATTAAAATAAATTATTAAAAATAAAAAATAAATTGCTAAAACTTATTAAACCATAAACGTATATTAAAATAAACTATAAAATAAAAATAATTAAATAAAATAAGTAAATAAAATAAACTATTAAATTAAAAATAAACAAAAATAGAAAATCAAAATAAAACACGAAAAATCATGAAAATGTCCAATTAAAATATTTTTATAGCAATAAAACCTAGTAAAAATTAATAAAACAAGATGAATGTAAAATTAAAATAAATAAATAAAATAAAACGCATAAAGATAAAAAAACTAACACAAAATTAAAAAAAACACCAAAAATATTTAACACACTAAAATGTAAAATTAAAATAAATAAATAAAAATCCATTAATGTCGATGAGAGATTTTCAACTGTGATCTTAAATTAAGTATAAATTTAACTAAATTAAAAAACACTTCCAGAACCAGAACCTTTTGTTTTTTCATTGCTTTACATGTTAAACAGATTTTCTTTTAATAATTTACAATATTTTTCCATTCGAGTACCTCGATCTCTTCCTGCAGTTTCAGACTGCGTTCCCTGAAGCCGCTCAGCTGCTCTTCAGCGGCGGCCGCTTGACCTTTGACCTCCTGCAGCTCCTGTAGTGTGTCCGCCGCTTGACCTTTGACCTCCTCCAGCTCCTGTAGCAGCTCCTCTGTGGACCGATCTCCCTCTCGTGAGGCCTGCGGAGAAACCAATCAAAGGTTAAAGGCCAAAGAGCCTCGGTGACGTCCCATCAGGCCGTGCGCGGAGCGAGCGAGTCTCACCCTGTGGAGCTGATCCTTCAGCAGAGCGATGCTCATTTCTCTCTCCTGCACAGAGAAAGAACAGGAATAATGAGCCACAAGTTCAGGAACGAGCCGTGACCCGTCTGAAAACAGGGAAACCGCTCATACCTGGAGCAGCTCCTGCAGCCGGACGCTCTGATCCCTGAAGCTGTGCAGCTCCTGTTGTGTGGCGGACGCTTGACCTCTGACCTCCTGCAGCTCCTGTTGTGTGGCGGACGCTTGACCTCTGACCTCCTGCAGCTCCTGGAGAAGTTTCGCCGTCTTGGCGTCGTCTTCGTCACGCGAGCCCGCTTGGACCTGCAGGTGAAACACAAGAGGTGAAGGTTTAGCGCTGAGCCGATGTAACGTGGCGTTGGTTTGCTGCAGCTGTACTCACTGTGAGAAACCAGAGAAAAATATAAATTAAATTAAACTTGTTTGACTCTACCTGGCTGAGAGCCGTCTGGAGCTGCGTGATCGTGCTCTCCTTCATCTGATGACGAAACAGCACAGTTAGCACCAAACAACAGTGTTCAAATACATCTAGGATGGCTTGAGGGAGAGTAAATCATGGGCTAACTATCCCTTTTTAATCTTGCTCTCCGTGTGAATGAGGATTATTTTTCTGACCCCATTGGCAGATATTTGTTCATTTTTTTAATTTTGATCAATCGTTTAGAAAACGAGCCCTATTATCGTGAGATAATTACAGTAGGAGAATTTGGATTGGCGTTTGTACCTCCATCTCCTCCTGAAGCTTGTGGCTCAGTTCCCTGTAAAAGGTCAGCTCCTCTTTAGTGGATTGACCTTTGACCTCCTGCAGCAGCTCTGACGGCGGCCGACTGTCCTCGTCCGACTCCTGTGTGTGACAGACTCTCATGAGGTGACGGCAAACACTGCTGTTATTAGTAGAGCTGCACATGTGCACTAATCGTGATTTAATTCAATAAATATTTGTGCTGCATGTCTCAGAGCAGCACTGTTCATTTAAACCATTCTCGGTTGTTGTTTTTTAGTTTGAGGTGCTTATAATGTGCATTTGAGAACGAAACATGCGCCAAACATCTCAATCTTCTAATGAAAATGACTTTTGGTCAACAAAATATATGAAGAGTTCAGATGCAAAAGCCTCTAAGTGCCATTTGAAATTTTCTTCTAGAATGATCATTTTTATCAAGCTTGTATATTTAAGTTCAGTGATTTCACTTAAATGGCAACGATAATTACCTATTAATTGTTATTTAAGTGAAATTACTGAACTTAAATATACAAGTTTGATAAAAATCATCATTAAAGAAGAAAATTTCAAATGGCATTTAGAGGCTTTTGCATCTGAACTCTTCATATATATATTATATATATATATTTTTTTTTTCAAATAAAAGCACTACAGTTTAACATTTGAAATTAAGATGATATAAACAAAAACGTAAGAAATAAATATTAAAATTTACACTTAAATATCATTATTTAAAAATATATTTTATATAAATATTAAATAGAATTATAAATTGGTATTATCTAATTGTGTACTTAAATTAAACAGATAATTTATCAGATATTCAACATAATTCATGTGTGCGAGTCCAACAGAAGGACGGACAAAACCAGTCAAATATCAAACACTGAGTTCTGCTCATGTTTATCCCCATTAGCCAATAAACTGATGATGAGTGACGCACCTCAGCGGTTGGTCGGTTTGGTTGTGACCCGTGATAGGTGGGTTTGGTTCTCATCTGGTTGAGGATGTCCATCATCACGGCTAACCTGCTCTCGTACTCCATCACCTCGTCCTCGGAGCTGCTCAGCATCTGTTCCTGCAGCTCCTGGTCCTTCTGCATGAGGCTCAGCCCGTCCTCCAGCTCCTTCAGCCTCTCCGTCAGCAGGAGCGGCCCGCGTGTCGCCGCTACGCCTCTCAGATCTTTGGTTTGCGTCTGTACGGCTCCGAGTTGAGCTTGACTGACCAGAACGGCGGCCACTTTCTCCCTGAGTTTGTCTTCTAGCTCGGCGACTTTGACGCGGTGAGTGCCGGCTTCCGTTTGCGCTAGCTCCACGTTTAGCATGCAGGCGCGCAGCTCCGAGTCCTTCTCCTCCAGTGCCGCCTCCAGCTCCTCCACCCGCCGGCTCAAAGCGCTCAGCCGTGCCCCGGCGCTCTCCTCCAGCGCCTGCACCTGCGCCTGCACCACCACGAACGCCGCCGTCTTCTCCCTCAGTGCCGCCTCCAGCTCCACTAGCGTCTCCTCGCGCAGCCGCTCGTATTGGCTACGGAGCGAGCCGTGTTCGGACTTCAGCGTGTCGAGCTCGGTCGCGACTTCATCCATCTTCTGCTTCATCTCGTCGCTGGGCTCGTCCTTGCGCTCGATGTGCGACAGCTCCTGCTGGAGCTTCTCGATGACGGCGTTGAGCTGCTCCACCTCCTCCTCGCGGCTCCTCTTCAGTCGCTCCTGTTCGCTACGCAAACGCTCCACCTGCGCCTCCAGATCAAGGAGAACCTCCTCTTTCTGCTCCAACGCCTGCACACACACACACACACACACACACACACCAACTCGGCTCAGGGTTCATCTCAACGTCTCAAACCAAGCATTATTTTCTAAATCAGATATTCCTACTGCCATGATCCGAAAGGAAAACCAAAAAGCAACATTACAATGTAGTGATGCATCGAAATTATTATTATTATTTTTTTTTTACCAAATCTCAGGAAGTGAAATTAAAGTTTAGTGAGGTTTGTTAGTTCATGTTAACTATTGTAGATCTTAACAAATGGAATCATACCGTAAAGTTTTACCAATAAATTAAAACTGTTATATTTTTTAGCGAAAAATTCACTACTAAAAAAGCTTTCACAAATTCAGTTTTATTTTATCTCCATTTCAATTGCTCTCTATTTCATTTTATTACTTTTTATGTTTTATCAGTCTATTTTAATGGTAAAATTAAATGTTAAAGCATGTCTAATTAAAACATGCAATTCATTAAAAGTAAAAAACAAACAAACAAAAAAAAACAAATGAGGCCATATGAAATCCTTATTTTTTATAATGTTTCCCCAAAATTGTATTTTTTTATTTTATATTATATTATATTTTAATTTAATTTTAATTTATTTTTTTTAGATTAAATTTTAATGGTTTGATTACATTTTAATAATCAAATATGTAATTAATAATATTTACAATTTAATATTTTTTAATAAAACATGTTCCTATGAAAAGTTTTATTTTTTCTTAATAAAAAAAAAAAGTTTTATTTTTCTTAATTTTTCTTAACTTTGTGTTTCCGGTTTTAACTTTGCTTGCCACAAAAACAAAAAATGTAATATTTTCTAAATGTAAATTTAACAATTCCTTAATTTTTTTAGGAAAAGTGCTGCACAAACGATGTTTATTATTCAAATAAAAAAATATATAATAAAACTTCAGTGCACCACTAATTAAACGCACCATCATAAAAGCTCATATTGAATAACTGGTTAATCGGTCACATGACTTTAGAAGTCGTCGTATGAATAATTATGATGACAGTATAAATCACATCCCACTTAAATCACATGATGACATACTGTCTGAAAACTCAGTGTTTCATGGACGACAAAATTAAATACAGGGTTGGCACAACACAAGGGTGAGTAAATGATGACAAAATGTTCATTTTTGAAGATATATTCCTTTAAAATAGTGACATTAATGCGTCACATGGTTAAGCAGGTCACCTGACCTGTCTGACTGGGTGTGTGTGTCCTTCCCACGCCACAAAAGACTGAGAGATTGAAGAATTTGGAGATATATTAGAGAATAAACAGGCTGCTCTTTTCCATACAGTGACCCGGAGATCTGAGACAAAGCTATCATGTGACTATATAAAGCAACATGAGGCACAGGGACTATTTTTATAATAATTTTATGGTACTTTCATGTCATTCCGACAGGAGGTTCGAGCTTGACAGTGTTGGACCCCATTCACTTCCATTGTACGGAAAAGAGCAGCGTGAACATTCTGCTAAACATCTCAGGTTATGATCCACAGACAAAATATAGGTTTTCCTTTTTGGGTGAACAATCTGAAGGAGGTGTTAATTATCTTAATTAATTAATTAATATCAAACACACTGCAGAACAGAAGAAAAACCCAAACCACAGCAACACATCAACAACAACAACAAAAGAATCGATGATTTCATTCAAGTCAATGTGAATGAGAGCACATTACACAGTTTAAAGAATGCAATCATGGTTTAATCATACAGTAACACTGCAATGAAACGTTTGCACTCTTTAAACACGAGCAGATGTGTTTCGCCATTTGTGTGACTCTTAATAAGATGCAAAGTAAAGTGCGTTTATGCAACACAAGATGGCAAAACACAGAGGCGGCACCAAACCGAGAGGCAAAACACACACATACACACACGCGGGTTTGACGAGTACTGCTATATGCATATGTGCAGGACACACACGCGACTTTACCTCTTCCTCAGGCTGTGTGTCCGCGTGCTGATGCTTAACGACCTGCTCGTTAAGGGCGATAATCTGCCTGTCCTTCTCCTCCAAGACCTTCAAGAGGTAAACATCGTCACATGACTCTGAATTTAGGACACTAGCGGACGACAGGTCGCGATGATGTCACATCTCCTGTTTGACTCCCAAATTAGTATCAAAGTTCACTCCATTAACGATCTTAATTGGGGTTCCCGCGTCTTGTTTCGAATGATTCATCAGTTCACTCCATTATACAGGAACTAGGGCTGTCAAACGATAAATCGCATCCTAAATAAAAGTTTGTGTTTACATAATGTATGTGGGTGCACGGTGTATAATTATTTTATATATATATATATATAAATACACACATGCATGTATATATTTAAGAAATATTTTCATGCATATATATTTATATATAATTTTTATTATATATAAATATAAATATTTTATATATAAATAATTTTTTTTTTTTTAAATATACATGCATGTGAGTGTATTTATATTATATATATACAAAATAATTATACACAGTGCACCCAAATATATTATGTAAACACAAACTTTTATTTTGGATGCAATTAATCACGATTAATCATTTGACAGCCCTAAAAGGAACACTTTTTGTCTTTATAATAAACTCTTATTTTTCATCCCAATATATGAGATCACATACACACACTTTTCACTGTCCAATCAATTTAATTTCCCATATTTCGTTTGCTTGGATATTCTGTTTCTGTCTGAAATCTTATATCACAAGAGTAACATTAGATGCAGATGTTTCATTCTGCAGATGCTGATATTTATATGAAATTCTGATAATTGTACTGTAAATCAATGAGATCTTTATAGCTAAACAGCAGATCATTTCATTAAATGCATATAAAAATTAATATCAGCCAATAATGTCTTTGTAAGATGATGTTTAAATGCTCAGTTTTATGATCGGTAGTTTTAAAGCATATAATGCAATGACTGACAGGTGAACAAATAAACCTGATGTTCGTATTTGATACTCGTGATTTTACTAATGATGATGATAATCACGTGAAGCTGCTTCAGTCCAGCTGAAATATTACTAACAATATCAAAGTCATTCTTGCGTTTCCATGATAAAATCAGCTCAGATCTGACAGGAAGACTCGTGGAGCTCGAGCTGAAGGACGTTCGTTTACATAGGAGGACTGAGAGACTTCATTTAATGGTCTTTATAGGGTTAAACCAGCCTGTGTGTGTGTGTGTGTGTGTGTGTGTCTGACCTGTGTGAGGCGGGTCTGGTTCAGCTGGTGGCTGCTGATCTCCTTCCTCTGGATCTCCAGCTGCATGTTGAGCTGATTGACCTCCTCGCTCTTATTCTCCAGCTCCTCACGAAACTGCTCCAGCTGCTCCTCCAGGTTCACTATCTGCACACACACACACACACACACACACACACACGATTCTTATGTGTTCATTACAAATGATCGCTGCGCATCATTATTGTGTTAATAATCATTTAATATCAATAATCATGAGGATCAAGCATCTCTTTTCATCTCTTATGATGTGGGCGGGGCTTTAACCTGTCACTCACACAAGATCAGCCAATAGCAAACCACAACCATCCAATCAAAATCAAGCCCCGCCCTATATCTGTTCTTGCTCCAGAAGCAGTTTTACTCCGATATACGACACAAAAGACGAGCACAACTTCCTTTTATGATGACTTTAACAAAAGTATACACTGAAGTGAGCTAGTTACAGATTTTTAAAATGTCTAATTCAATGCAAATTAATGCAAAATTCACAAGCAAAATTTTGAAAATATTTGATGATATTTTTTCAATTAAGATGTTTTATCATAATTTGTTCATGACACTCACTGTCACCATGGAAAAAAACAATCAATTATTAAAATGATAGCGGAGGTTAGTTGGGTGACATAAACCACCAGCCTAACACGAGTTAATACAGGGCGTTTCCGTTTACGGGATAAAGATGCAGATTCTATAAATATAATTTCAAAGGAAGTGTTTTGTATAAAGTGCTGTAGAAATGAAGCTGACTTGACAACATTAGTGACGCTTTCTAGAACAAAAACTGATTAAAAATGTATTTTAATAACTTTATCATATATTGAGATGTTATTCCCGGCGGAGAATGAACGTGAGGAGCGCTACACACTACAAATTGCGTCTCGATACACACGAGGTGAGGGTGTTCTGTCAGTGAGAGGGTCATGTGACAGGAAGTACCTCTTTCTCCTTCCTGTCCAGAGCCTCTCTCTCGGTCTGGAGCTGAGCCTCCAGTGTGACGTCTCCTCGGCCCGCCATGGACACATGCTGAGCCTCCTCCACCTGCACACACACACACACTCCGATGTGTAAGTATACAGACTAATTAGTCGTCCAGGTGAACCATGTACTATTTTGAAAAGATGTACTTTTGCAGATTACTAGTAGACATAATAATAATAATGATAAAAAAATAAAATAAAACTTAGTATAAGAACATATTTATTTATTTATTTAATAATAGAATAAACACAACAAAAAATAACAACAATTATTTATATTTAAAACAATAATAACATTAATGAAATAAATAAAAATAAAAAAGAATGACAAAATAATAATAATATCAATTAGTAGTAAAATAATAAAAATCACGATAATATCAATATTCCAAAAATACATCTATATAAATGTGTAAATATTATTATTGAATTATCTAATAATAATAATAATGTTGAATAGCAAATAATAATCAAAAATAATCAAAATTATTTATTCATTAAAAATTAGTACTAAAAAAAAAATCAATATTCAAAATCACAAAGTTAATATTTATTTATTTATTTCCTTTTTAGAACTCAAGGTCACATAAATAGCGAAGTGATAAACAGCACACGTCCCAGATGGTGGCTTTAGCGTGTATAGCGTGTATAGTGTGTGTGCGGTGCTTTGGCACGTTACAGGAATCAGACGGTCAGAAACACGCAAAAAATATTGAAGAATATAACAATAACATCTAGATAACCTCACTCCCATCCCTTCACAATTATATTAGACACACACACACACACAGGTCGTCTGATCACGCTGACATTCAAGCCCAACAACACACACACGCGCAGAGACAGAACATGATCATTAAAGCAGAGACATGACGCTAAACCACTGCATTCACACACACACCACAGCAAGGACACACTCATTCATCACGCTCTCCTCACACACAGCGTTCAGACACTCCCTTTCGTCACGCTCTCCTCACACACACACACACAGTGGAGTAAGACTGGCGTCTAACAGCAGAACCGGAGGAGAAACACACACTGACCCTGTGCATGAGTGTGTGTTCCAGCTCTCTCACGCGCGCGCCGAGCGTCTCGATCTCCTCGTCTCTCTCACACACATCTCTCTGCAGCTGCTCGGCGCTCAACAGCAGCTCACTGCAGCAGTCAGACTTATCCTGCAGCGCACGGGACAACTCCTGCACCTGAGAGAGAGAGAGATGAGGAGAGAGAGAGGGAGAGAGAGAGAGAGAGAGAGAGGGAGAGAGAGATGAGGAGAGAGAGGAGATGACGTCAGATGAGTGTGTGTGTGTGCTTGGGAGTGTGTGTGTCGCTGCCTGGCAACTGACTGCAAATCACTTAAAGGGATAGTTCACCCAAAAAATTAGCCCATGATTTACTCACCCTACTTTCATACTAACACAATCCGAAATGTCCTCCCAGATAGCAAACTGACATTGAATCAACGTGGAAATATGACATCGAAACAACGTTGATCTGACATTGTTTTGCTCATCGAATTAACGTTGAACCAACGTCAGACGCGTCATTCTTTCAAAACTAACGGAAAATCAACTTGAAATCAACGTGGTTTCAACGTTGTGAAAGCAAACCAATTGCGTCGATATTCATTTAGCTTTGAAGAATGCCGCGTCTGACGTTGGTTCAACGTTAATTCGATGAGCAAAACAATGCCAGATCAACGTTGTTTCGATGTCATGTTTGTTGTCTGGGCTGGCTCTTCCAAGCTTTATAATGGCAGTGAATGGCCGTATATTTTTTGAAAAAAGTAATTGAAATAGCTCAACACAATACTTATTTCAATTATTGGAAATGCAACTTTTAATGACGTCTGCCGTCTGAAAATGATTCAACCCCCTGATTTGAATCCCTCACAACAGCACAGATCTGTGTCGTCTCACTAATCAAGGGCTTCATGAGCTGCACCAGGTGCGCTTGAGCTGGAACACATGAAATGTCTGAACTGGCGAGGTTTGCTGAGCGTCACAAAGAAAGCCACTGTCACCTGACTTGAACCTCATTGAAAATCTGAGTACTAAAGATCCTTGCCATGAAGGGGTTGAATACTTTTGATACTGCAGAAGTCATTTGTTGTTTATAATTTTAATAATTGATTGTTTTTCCATCGTAACGGAGTATCATGAAAAAAGAAATTGCTTGCTTTGAAACAGCTTTCTAAAAAATGCTAGTAAATTTCACAATGAATTACAAACAGGCAGCAAGTAACATTGAATAGAAAATCTAAAAGAGTATATATACATTTGTTGTGTTGAACTTTATATTTCTGTTGTTTGATTTGTTCATTGCAAACCGCTGAAAGTCTGTAACGTTTGCTAATAAACCTGGTTTGCAATGGGGGAGGAATAATTTCGATTACAACTGTATTTGGCCATTGAAAAACCCATTGACTTGGAAGCAGAAGTTCAAAAATACAAATTTCTGTATTTTAGGACTCATTAGCACAGAAATAGGTCATATTCTGGAAAAACAATTGGTTATGAATGCCATTTTATCAATATAAACTGACTATTTATTACGACTGATCTGTATTCCGGCTGGTATTTGGAGTTGATCTGCTGTTTTGTGAGGTGTTGTGTGTGTTTGAGATGACATCAGTCCAGCAGAGAGCACACGAGCTCAGTGTCTGAGGACTAAAGGCGTGAGGCCTCAGGGCCAGCGATCGGGTGTCGTACCTCTCGGTCCCTGCGGTCGCTTCCGGTTCCTGTTTTGGGCGGGTTCTTCAGCTGCTGCTCCAGGCTGTGAATCTCCTGCTGAAAGACGTCGCGCTCGTGTTCCCTGTCCGCGGCCTGTTCCTGATAATCACAAGAGCACAAACACGTCACACTTGAGCCATTCGCATGATGCAACACTCCTGATTAAGGTCCTGATGAAATCCAAGAGCGAAATGGTGTGACGTCATTTAAAAAACAAAAGCTTAGTGACGCTAGTAGTGTGACATCAGCGGCAATCCACCTGTCACTCAAGTGGCCACGCCCTTAATTATGCACAAATCATCCCCCTCAGTCGTCATGAAGGGCAGAAAATTTGCTTTATAGACCAAAACCACTTTATGCACCAGACTGTAATCATGTTTTTCTGCTTTAAAGTTGTGCATTTTAACATGGCGGTCTATGGGAGTGAGTCTCTTCTAGTGGCCAGTGGAGGAACTGCAGTCGAACTCACTCAGTGTTGATTCAAACGTTTAATGAACGTGAAAGAGGCATGATGAGGAGACTCACGTCCATGAACCTGCGGTTGTTCTCCAGCTGTTTCTCCAACGCCTGGATCTGCTGCCGCAGGTCGTCTCGCTCGGATCGGCTCGTGTCCTGGAGCTCCTGCAGACGCATCACCTGATCCTCAAGCTCCGCCTCCAGGTGCTTCACCTGCTGGTGCAACTCCACACTCTCCTTCTGCGCCTGCCGCTGCACCTCCACCTTCTCCAGCATCAGCTTCTCCGTCTCCTCCAGCAGGTCTGAGGACACACACACACACGTGAGGACACACACACACACACGTGAGGAGAGCGGTCGCCCCATGGCAATAATGGAGCCGCTTCAGAGAGTCATTCACGGTCTTCTACGTCTCTAAGGCCAGAGTTCTTCATTAAAGAGTTTATAAACTGAGCAATAGTTTTGATGGACTTTTTTTATGAAATAAACTGTAAATCACATAAAACTCGTCATGTTCAGATCATATTTAACCACAAAATCAAAAGAAACAAACTAATTAAATATTAGAAGAAAATAATTGTAAAACAAATTTTCCTTTTCAACTTACTGAAATAAACAAGTTTAAGCTGAAGTAATACTTTTTACTATTTACTAAAACTAAGAGTGAAATAAAATAAAATAAAAACATAAAAATGACAAAAACACATAATTACTATAACAAACTAATATTGAAACAGAAAAAAGCTACTTAAAAATATAAATAAATATCATGATGGTATAAAATTAATACTTGAATAATACTGCTTAATTGGCATGAAAATAATAAAAAAAAACAGAAGAAAATAGATTTTTAATTAAACAATTGTTTTTAGGGAAAATGTGCTTAATTGCAGTGTTGTGATTGCTGGCTAAAACTAAAAATATGAAAAATTAAATATTGGAAGAAAATCTTACTTTAAAAAAACTCAGCAACTAACTAAAATAATTAAGTTGAAGTGCTAAAATGACTAAAACTAAGAAAAAAATGGGATATATAGATTAAAAAAGGCAAAATAACAAAGAAAAAAATGACAAAATCACATAAATACTATAAAAACTAATATTGAAACAGAAAAAAGCTACTTAAAAATATAAATAAATATTATGAAATAAAATTAATACTTGAATAATACTGCTTAATTGGTGTGAAAATAATAATAAAAAACCGAAGAAAATAGATTTTTAATTAAACAATTGTTTTTAGGTAAAATGTGCTTAATTGCAGTGTTGCTATTGCTGACGAACTAAAAATATGAAAAATTAAATATTAGAAGAAAATCTTACTTTAAAAAAACTCAGCAACTAACTAAAATAATTAAGTTGAAGTGCTTAAAAAAATGGGATATATAGATTAAAAAAAGGCAAAATAACAAAGAAACTGAAATTAAAACGAAAACTGAAGATACAAAATTAAAGCTACTTGATGGTATACAGATAATACTAAAATAACACTGCTTAATAATCATATTAAAAGAATCAATCAATTTAACAATAATAAAAAAAATCAGGCTTAATTTTCTTTGTGGAAAATAAAGTTTTATATTTTGTTCTTTTGATTTTGTCATGAAATATGAAGACGTCATGTTCCATTAGTGAATGTTCTCTGAGGTTCTCCACTTCTGCACATGGACACGAGACACGAGACACCGTTTCCCACAACCGTTCCCGTACGATCCGGGATCACATGATCCGGTCAGCAACCACGAGCGACCCCACAGGGCAGGAGGACGGGATAAAAGTGCAAGTGCAAAACAGAAAGGAAAGGGAAAAGGAAACGTGTCCCTTATTGAACAGCCATCAGTCCAGCACAGACTCCCATGATCCTCCAGAAATCACTCTAATATGAGGATCTGATGAGCAAGTTCAGCGTTGTGTACAATCTTTTGTTGCATTATAAATGACTTTACGGTCAATTTTTCCAACACTGATAATAATCATAACTGTGTGTTGATTATCAGATCCTCATATTAGAGTGATTTCTGGAGGATCATGTGACACTGAAGACTGGAGTAATGATGATAAACTCAGCTTTGATCACAGGAATAAATTACACTTTACTGGATATTCACATAGAAAACAGATGATTTACATTAGAATAATATTTCACTGTTTTTACTGGGGTTTTTGTATTTTTAATCAAATAAACGCAGCCTTCATTATATATATAATTAATATTATATTATTGTTTTATAAAAAAGTTTCCGGTGAACTACAGTATTCCATCATAATCCTGTAGTGAAATCGACTGTAGTTGTTGCACATGTGGAGACGGCTGTTCAATCAGGAGACACACCAGATAGCGCTAGTTAAACCATGCTAGTGTTTCAGCAGACAGTGTGTGTGTGATGTTACAGCCGTGGAGGCAGCGGTTAGTCGATCAGCGGGAGCCCAAAGCAAGCAAAGCTCCAGTTACTGGTGTATCGATCAGAGACGTGCCGGCCATGCAGCTCGTGAACACACACACTCACTCACTCACACACACCTGCTTCAGGTGCTGCGTCAAGAGCAGCCTCAACTAGTCCTGAGGAAAGAGAGAGTGAAAACAACACATTCATCATGCAAATACAGGAGGAAAGAGGGCAGAAACATGAAGACGTGACAGCATCGGTTACAAGCGTCTTCTGTGGGGGCACTTCATGCACCTGTAAACACACACCTGAAGGCCTGAACGCACCTGTAAACACCTGAGCGCACAAAACCGGACACATTCGAGACGAGAGCGAAAGAAAATCGTGTTTTAAAACATTAGCGGGGAAATCTGCTTGACTGCAGGGTTGTTATATTAAGCTAAAACTGTAAAATAGTGTTACCACATTTTTTAATAGAGTAAAACTATAAATTATGCAAACCTTAATCCTAATTATACAGTAAGTGCATGCAATTAGTATTACTCAGTACTTAAATTCATAATTATAGTGTAACAATGACATCTAATAAAGTGTCAACATTTTTTTGTTCATTAAAATGAAGCTGAAATAAAGTCATAAATATTAGATGAAAAACTTCAGGTTAAACTACATACAAAATATGAATTATTGTTATTTTTATGAATTTTTCATAAAGAGTTTTTATAACTGAACCCAAAACTTAAATAAACATTATAATAAATATATTAAAATGTAAAAAGCGTTTATTTTTATTTTATTTCAACTAGTTGCCAATGAAACATTTTCCATTTTTACTGTGTTTAGTTTAACTTGTACTAAAATAACTAGAACTGATCTTAAAATTAATAAAATCTATATAGACATTCAAAAAAACACAGTACTAAAACTTTAACAGAAGTTAAAATGACAACAGAAAAAATTTGTTCAAGTTGAATATTACTAAAACTGAAATACAAATAAATTAAAGAAAAAGAGAAATATTTAAAAGAATTACAGACAGTAAAATTAACTAAAATTAAAATGAAGCTATTTAAAAATATTAATAAATACTATAATTTTCAATTAATATAATATTATTAAAGTAGTATTAAAATCTTTAATTGTCAAAAATAATGAATATAGTAAGACGATATTAAAAAACTAAAAACAGTTTTTATCTTTACACAAAATATATATTATTAATTTGTTCGTTTGGTTTTGTGAATTGTTCGGATCGCTGCTAGCATTGCGTAATGTAGCGTCTCGCTACAGATTTATGTTCGATGTGGACAGGCCTTGAGAATGAATACTGATACAGCCTATAAAGAAATAAACCATAGTTAATCATACTCTCATTACCCATCAACCCCTTCAGCTTCAGTGTTCATCACACTAGTGTTGTCAAAAATACTGAATTCGGTACCAAGTCGATACTGAAATCTAAAAAATGTGAGGCTATGAGCAGAATCGTAAACACCTCTGATTGGCCGAAGTGTTCAATAGCTTATCGGATATGTCTGTGATTGGCTACAATGATTAGCGCTTCAAAAACATGTTTTAAATATACATACAAAAGTGTGACCTATGTAACGTCAGTGAGTGTGTGTTGAGCGTGACGTACGCAGCTCTGGGGCCCCGGCGCCGTCTCTCAGCGCCTCCTGCTGGCGGGACAGGAGCTGGCGCTGGTCCTGGATCTGCTGGCGCTCCTCCTCCAGTTCCCTCAGCCTGAGGCTCGTCACACACAACTCCTGCTCCAGCTGAAGCTGCAGATCGACCCGCTCGCGCACCTGCTGCTCCAGCACCTCACGCTCGCCGCTGTAGCTGTCAATCACTCCTGACACACACACACAACATTACACCGTTACAGTATTTACAGTCTGGGGTGGTTTGGACACACACACACACACACACACTCATGTCAGGCTCTATTTGGTCAACAGGGTCTGAACTCGACAACAATGCATCTCTGCCCTGAATGTGTTCCAGCTCGCTGAGTCTCACTGCAGGACAGATATTAATCAACATTCTTTCAATTCAACAAACACTCACACATCAACGTCTTTAAGAGCGATAAACAACACGTGTGAGGAGAACAACAACTGGAGGACGAGACAAACTTATTTACGGCTAGTTTTACGGTCACTAGAGAAGCTCATGGTGGAGAAGAGCTTTAGTTTCACAGAGTTTACACACACACACACACACACACACACACAGGAATGCACTAATAACTCATGAATATTTAACAACACAGATCTGACACTCTTTAAGGTCATTTGCAAATGAAATGAGGTCGCGGTGAGCGATCCCACCGACAAAAGAGCTTCACACACACACACACACACACACACACACACGTAAGAAAAGAGTCTGCTGTATTTAGACTGAATACAGAATCAGCAGCCGGTTCACACATACAGGCTGAACAATACAATACACACACACACACACACACACAGTTCAGACATGCAGGCTGAACAATACACAAACACACACACACACACACTCACAGTTCAGACATACAGGCAGAATATCATCACACACACACACCCAGAAAAGTAAAAGATGATGACATCACAGACGCCCCTGCAGGGCAACAAACATCGTCTCATTCGTGCGGAGCGGTTTATTAAAGACTGAGGTCACGACAATTTCAAGCATTAAAACTATTAAAGAGACATTTCAGTAAAACACACTGCACCTAAACACACACAATCGACACCAGGGCCAACACACACACACACACACACACAAACACACACCACCGACACCAGGGCCAACACACACACACACACACACTGCACCAAAACACACACCACTGACACCAGGGCCAACACACACACACACACACACTGAAACACACACCACCGACACCAGGGCCAACACACACACACACACACACTGCACCTAAACACACACCACCGACACCAGGGCCAACACACACGTGATCATGTGACCTGCGATCGCAGTGTTGTGTGAGATGACTATGGTCAACATTGAGTGGTAAACAGCACACACTCCACCGCTCCGTCAAACCTTTACGACGAGCCAGTTTACAACAAAGCAGAGTAAAACAAAAGAGCGTAACCATGACAACACACTGGTAATGATGGTCTGTTTGAGACGTCTCTGAATGTCCAGCTGCTGGTGTGTGTGTGTGTTTGATAAAGTACCAGCCAGTGCTGTCACCGACAAACAGACACACACACACAGGCGCGCAGACTCACTCACACACACACACACACACACAGAGACACAGATCAATCAATCATCTGTCCTGATGTTCTCCAGAAGAGCGGAAACTTGACCCCTGTTTTACATCGGTGTTCCTGAACAGGGTTTGGATGAACAGCTTCACACGGACATGACGGGTTATGATACACACTGTGTACACACAAACACCACACACCTCTTTCACACACTCACCTTCTGCCAACACACACGGATCCTCTTCACATCCTCAAATACACACACACAGACACTCACACACACACTCACAGACACACACCTTCAGCCCTGTGCATCTCCAGAGCCAGTCGTTCGGTTCTCCTCTCACACACACACACACACACACACACACACACACACACACACACCTTCAGCCCTGTGCAGCTCCAGTGCCAGTTGTTCTCTCGCTCGGTTCTCCTCACACACACACACACACACACACACACACACACACCTTCAGCCCTGTGCAGCTCCAGTGCCAGTTGTTCTCTCGCTCGGTTCTCCTCACACACTCGCTCCTGAAGCTCCTCTTGTCGGCGCAGAAGCTCCTCCATCTCCTCGTTATGCCTGAACTTCTCCCTCATGAGCTCCGTCTGCGTGATCCGCGCGTGTTCCAGCTGAGACACACACACACATCACGAATGGGCAAACACACTCAAACCAGTGCTTCAGATTAAATAATGCGTCTAAATGCAATACAAACATTTTTTAATATGAATATATGAGATATAAAATGTAATAACAAATATGCCTGTAGTAATCAGACGTGAGAGCCATGTACTGTAATAGTACATCTACTGTACTGTATAGACCTTATTCAGAGCAGCGCCATGACAGGTATGAAAGTGAGGCTGTGAGGGATAGACTTACCGTGTTTCCAATGGCATCCGCTGTAAAAAGCTGAATAAAGCTCCTAGATTACTTACAATTTTCCTCAGCTTATATTGTCGGGAGTTTTTTGTCAACTGAAATGTCTTGGAAAGATATTTTTCCAGTGTTTCATGAGCAGAACAATCCGAAAACACATTAAATAGCAGTACAGCCCATTGAAGAGATGCAAGTCTATCCCTCACAGCCTCGCTTTCATTCTCATTAAAAATCAAAGATGGCGCTGCTGTGAATAAGGCGTATTGACACAAATTTCACAATTCGATTCGATTTTGATTCACAAGCTTGCAATTCGATTCGGTTTCGATTCCGATTCAATTCAATATTGATTATTTTGGATATCAGTTCAAATTTTCTCAAGGAAATCAAATCTCTTAACTAACGCTGTAAACTATGGGAGACGTCATTAGCCTATGAAGGTAATAATGACCTGTTTTGTAGCTATACAAACACTTAAATTACACTTTTATTTATTTTTATAATAAGAAGATTATATGAAATATAAACATTTAAATGGTGGCTGTCATAAAAACTTGCCAGATTTATTCAAATATGCATTAAATATCGAAGAACATTAAGATTATAATGCATATGTAATATGGTGTATATATTTAGCAAAATGCTCCTCTCTGGAGTTATTTTTCTAGCTGACTAACGAGTTTATGTGGGTTTTCTGAGGTAAATATGACAATAAATAAGTAAGACGACGTCTTTCCACGGTTGAAACGCTGATTGAGCGAATCAATGTGACATGATCCGGATTTGGATAAGTTGTACTCGATCTTTAACACACTTTCAGATGCTCATTCATGTTTATTTGGCGCTGTGACTGGTATTATTAAGCCGGAAGAGAGATCAGCGCTGCTGCTTCTCCAGAGCGATCTCACGCCACAGCGACAAAACGCTATTTATGTTTCTGAATTTCTAAAGAAAATGGACGTAATTAGAAAATTCAGACTTTGTTTCATATCAATAGTAACAAAGGACAAAGATTATTGCGATTTTTTAGATGCGCGCAGCCGCGATACAATGTCCCATTCATTCAAATGAAACAGGATGACTAATCGATTCTTGAGATTTAAGAATCGATATCGGTTCGTAAAAATGAGAATCGATTAATATCGAGAAATCGATATTTATTACCCAACCCTAGAAACAGCGATTGAAGAGTTGCAGGAGTGATTACAGTAACGAGCATTCATCACTTCGTTAGTCTCGTTATGATCTTCTGAGCTCGTTGGAGGAGCAGGGATGTGTTTATTACAGTACTGTGTGCAATTACCCAAAACAGCATCATGATAAACACTCTGAGTGATTATCTCTAGAATTACCAGAAAGGAAAAGATGATGCATGATGGTTAATTAGCAATATGGAACATGTGAAGCTCGTTTTCAGAATATAGACCTTACAATAAAACTGATACACACACTTCTGTTCATAAATCAGGCGTCAGATATTCATACTTATAATCAGCAAAGACACACTCGACTGATCAAAAGTGACATTTAGATTCTGTTTTAAATTAATGCAGTTCTTTAACTTTCGATTCATCAAAGAATCCTGAAAAACTAAATGTACCACAGTTTACACACAAATATGAAATATGTTTTCAACTTGTTGATCATCAGATCCTCATATTAGAGTGATTTCTGGAGGATCATGTGACACTGAGGACTGGAGTAATGATGATAAAGATCACAGGAATAAATTACACTTTACTACATAAAATAAAGAAAATAAGAACAAATAACCCAACTACAAGCAAAAGCACAGATATATACAATAGAGCAAAGATACGCATAAATAAACCGTGCTCTTTCACGTTAGTTTCCAGGGACAGAAACTGAATAAAGTATATTTTGCTGTGTAAATAAAGATTTATCCTTGTTAAATTTACAGAAGATATCCAGTCCAGATCTGTGAGTGACATATGTGTGTTTCGTTTGATTAGCAGTACTAGCAGAGAGCAGGAATATGAGGCCGCTACATAAGGTCTATACACTCCCTGAAGGAGAACAGTGCACGTCTGCGGGATGCTCATCACGGACATGCGGACCTCTGGGGGGATTTGGCCATTCAAGTGCAAGACTTGAAAGAGATATCAATAATTGTAGAAGTGTGTGAAATTAACTTAAAATATCTTTAAAATGATAAAGCCAACATATGTGTTTCACGAGCAGAACGCATCCCTCGTCTGACAGTGAACATCAGTGTGTCGCTGTGTTTGGGTCTACTGAAGGCTTCTGGAGAGCAGAGACGCGAGCGCTTGACCACTGGTGTCTCACACACACACACACACACAATGCTCAAATCTTCCTATACACCTCTCAGAGTGCTTGATGTGGTTGAAGAGCGAGAAGCTTCGACAAAAGGACTTTATAAAAACACGACAGCGAGACTGATCTCGTGTTACACACACAAAACACTTCATACACACCGAAACACACCCTGGAATCTCATTACACTGCAAGTCAACGTGTACAAAAGCTCTTATCTAACCATGTAGACACTGAACGCCTATAAAACCTTCCTCCGCATGATTCCCAAAGGTCGAACTCGATCTCCTGGTGACCTCACACACACACACTTACTGTATACGGGGGAGTGGGAAGCGAGATCTTGGAGACGACTTTGAGCAGGTGGCCGTTGTCGCGCCGGTTGACGTGTGAGATCTGTGTGTGCACCACCACGGCGTTCTTCTCGTGGAGCAGGTGAGAGAGCGGGAAGGGTCTCGGGAGCGGGATACGAGACTCCACCTCGTAAATATCCTGATCCTGACTGTCCAGCCAGCTGTCCTTCACAAAGTGGGAATCCCAAAACGTCCGATAGGAATCCATCGCGCCTGATCCTAAAGCAGAGACGTCTGAGGCTAATCGGCGAGCGACGGGCGAGTGTGTGACGGAGGAGTCTCCGTGTTGGTAAACACACACGACAGATTTCGCATGGCAGGTCAAATCCCCCAAAAATCCCAGTGACAGAGCTGCGACTAATCCCCAAATCCTAAACAATCCCAGTGATCTCAACACTCAGAGCAACCTGTAGCCGAGAGATCCAAACAGGAGAGTTGTAAAACAGCAGGACTCTCGTTCACTTTCCCTCGGTTACTCCTGCTGGAAACTCATTAACAATTCCATGCTTCCGTGGCAACGATCCGCTGGGAAAAGGCAGGGCCTCATTAGCAAGTGAGAACAGAGAATAGCAGCGCTCCGGGGGGAGATCCTCTCTCTCTCTCTCTCTCTCTCTCTCTCTCGATCCCACTTCCTGATTAGTGAACATGTGTGAGAGACGTCAGTAAAGGTGGAGTCACACGATCTGCAGGTGAGTGAACACACACACACACACACACACACACACCCTCCCCAGCCTGTCCGACCAGATTCCTGGGCCTCATAACTGAGAACGAGACCTTTAAACACGTATAAATTTTGTTTGGTTGGAGTAATTATTTTCTCTTCAGTCTCCATGATGACTACACTATTGATTAACTTCTCCTCCCACCGCCGCCTCGCCGTCTATCTTCATTCCTGAGCAAGCCATTACATGATCAACTCCCCATCAGAGCCGAGCGCTAACACTCATTACACAGACCTGGACTCATGAGCGCTCCATCAGAGCCGAGCACACACACACTTACGTTTTATCTTTTATTGTTTATTTGATTAATTTATGAATATTTTTTTTATTAATCTAACATTTGTTATTTATTTTATTAACTTATTTGCATTTATTTTATTATTTATTTACTGATATAAACAATTATTTTTTTCATTAAAATTTTGATTTTCATATCTATATTATTTTATTAACCTATTATTTATATATATATTTAATAACTAAAGCACTGTATATTATTTATTTGATGATTTTGATCTAAATGTATTATTTTATTAATTTACTAATAACATTTTTATTTTAATCGGTTATTTGTTAATCTATGTTATTCATTTTAATCTATACTCATTTATCTGTATTGTATCTATTTTTTATTCATTTTAATATTATTGTAATTTATTTATTTAAATCTAATTATTTTTTACAGTTTTTACACTGTTTTTTTTCTAAACTAAATCCCAGAGTGGAAAATAAATCCCGAATTCTCATTTGCTCACATTTCAAGTCGAACAGGATCTGATCCGATCTTTAAATCTGTGGCATAAAATACCAATATCACCACATTCGGCAGTCAAGATATTAATCTCTGGCAGGAAGTGATGATCAGAGCGAAGCCAACATAAACTACTGGGAAAGAGGGTTTCGCTTTACTTCACACACACACACTCAGCTTTACGCATGTTAACCTGCTGCCACGGAGACCAAAGCATTATGCAAATCAGCTGTTATCTAGAGGCTCCGCCCACTGTGTCCTGTGAGCTTGAGCACTGTTGCCTCATGGGAAGCGTTCACTCATCTGATATAACCAGCAGTGTTAGTTAATGATCCAAAGACGATGTGTTTAAGCAACTACGATCTAAACATGAGCTAATCCTGCTTCAGAAACTATTACAACAGACATTTAATGTAATATTATTGATCTCCTGCACCGACAGCATTATATGAGAACTGGACTGAGCTGACGATGACATCACGGTTTCTCCAGAGCGGCTATATACGTATATATATAAAATTAAATAAATTTAATTAAAATTAAATAAAAAACTTTTTTACAACAAAATTGAAGCATCACTGAACTTACTTAATCTGGACGATGATGCTATTTCCTTCTAAAACAAACTTTGTAGCATTATTTTCATGTTATCACTGTAAAGCTGCTCTGAAACACTGTACTGTAAAAAGCGTTGTATAAATAATAGTGACTTGACTGATAATTACTTCTATTTTTAAATGTGTGGAAAGAGCCTCTTCTGTTGGCTATATTTATTTAATCAAAAACACAGAATATATATCATATTTCATCACATCAAAAACTGTGAAATATTACTCCAATGGCTGTTTTTCTATGTGAATATTACAGTAAAAAGATGAATTTTCACTCCAGCCTTCAGTGTCACATGATCCTTCAGAAATCATTCTAATATGATGATTTGATTCGAACGTTAGTTTTGTCTCTCTGTGCTTGCCGTACCTGAGAGCTGGTGTCAGTGATGGCGATGAGCAGCTTCTCTACGGCGCTCTGCAAGCGTGAGCTGATGCTCATCAGAAACTCCTCCCTCTCCAGCTGGAGCTCCGCCCCCTGTAGCTGAAGCCACGCCCCCTGATACAGAAGCCCCGCCCCCGGGATTTTCATCTCCAGCCCTTCATCGGCCTCCGCTGAAAACATGCTGACGTCATCAGTGTCTGTGTACGGGACAGAGGAGATATCGTTATATTTATATCGTTTATATCGTACATGTCCAAGTGATCTGAGGTAAAAATGATATAAATACTGTTCGTTTTCTGCTCGTTTTGTGTCTTAGGCCATCAATGTGTACTTACATGTACGAGTCATTAAATCATGTTTAATTTGGACTTCTCTGTGCTGCTCTTTGAGGTGGTGACCATAGACCTGCATTATATGACTGACAGACAACACCGGTTTGACGTATATAAAATATCAAATATCAAAATTGAAACTACTCTTGGATGCCCTTGAGGTAAGCTAAAACATGAACAATCCCTTTAAGGCTAACATTTTAATTCTGAAAGCTAAAAAAAAATGTACATTTTGATTCCCGGAGGCGTTTAAATCACGCTATAGTTTGGCTATCACTAATAAAGCATGATATGGTTTGCAAATGATGTTTTTGGTGAGACATAAGATACAGAAGACGAGCAGAAGAATGGATGAAATCACAAAGAGACAGTTTTGGGTGTCGAGTTACAGGAGCAGTCGATCACACGACACGAGACGGCCCTTAACACACCCTAGCACCGGTCACATGACCTCGCCTCAACAGTACACAAAACATCTCTATGCAAAGACAATGAGTCAACAGAGAGGGACAAACGAGACAGACAGGATCCGCTGTGGCTTCACTGGTTCCTACATATCATTTAAACGGTCCTGTCATCTGTTATTAACCCACTTTGATCAACTTTAGGGTCACATGCTTTTTTAAATCTTTACTAAACCGCACGACAACATTTCAGCTGAAACTCTTTCATGTCTGAAAGCCTTCTGTTTGTGATCCGATGTGGATTCTGATCACATTTACATAATATTTATGTACCCATCACCATAAACATGCTAAACATGACTGCTTGAAGAAATCAGACAAAGCATGTTAGTATTGTGTGCGTCTCGTGTCTTTATACCGGACCGCCTGATATCATATTTAGCTCCGCATGTGTCCGTAACTAAAGCGGTATTCTCTGGCTGATGATGTCACTGCACTGGGGAGATGCTAAAGCTCCTCGGCGGATGTTTTGGTGGCATATTTGTATTAATGATCGTTCTTCTTAAATGTGATGTAAATGTAATGTGCTGTGAGGAAATAAACAGAAACATACGCGGCTGAATAAGTGCGCTCCTCTTTCGTTCTTTTGAGAAATAACAGTAAACCACTTTATTTCTGTGTGACTAATGTGCAATATTGACGCATCATAATTCATTATGATCTTTTTAATTGTAAACCTGTGGAGAAACATCAGCGCTTGGGTTTTAAATATTCCAGTTATGCCAGCAAACCAACGCTTTTATCATGTTCGCTTGCGATCTCGCTGTTTCCACTGATTTATTTCTGATAAACTTCCGTTTGTTGGTGAAATGATGTGTGTGTGTGTGAGTTGCAGGTGTGTTTAGTGAAGCGCTGCGGCCCGACGGTGGAAACGCAGCATGTTTTGTGCTCGGTGCTCCAGGTCCGAGGCTATTAGCCCCGCCCACCCGCCCGCTTAAAGCCCTGCTCGCACTGGCCCGCGGTGGAAACACAGCTAATGTGTGACTGACATTTATTATGAAGCGACGTCATTGTTGATTCCTGATGATTTAGAATGAAAAAAAGGGCAAATGAACAGGTGAAAGGGTGAGATGTGTCTGACCTCCAGCAGGTCCCGGTCTGACCCGCTCCGCTGGGGTCATGTGACCCGGACTGGACTCCAGCATGGCCTCCACATGGCTGATGGTCTCCTCCGCGGCCGCTGTGGTCTTCAGCACCTCCAGCAGAACCTGAACCAGACGAGCGTTCGCCTCACGCAGCAGATCCCTGAGGAGAACAACACTGATGACACAGAGATCTAGGTGTGTGTGTCTATCTATCTATCTATCTATCTATCTATCTATCTATCTATCTATCTATCTATCTATCCATCTATCCATCTATCCATCTATCTATCTCTCTATCTCTCTATCCGTCTATCTATCCGTCTATCTATCTATCCATCCATCTGTCTATCTATCTATCTATCTATCTATCTGTCTATCTGTCTGTCTATCTGTCTATCTGTCTATCTATCTATCTATCTATCTGTCTATCTGTCTGTCTATCTGTCTATCTGTCTATCTATCTATCCATCTATCCATCTATCAATCTATCTATCTGTCTATCTATCCGTCAATCTATTCATCCATCTGTCTATCCATCCATCTGTCTATCTATCTATCTGTCTATCTGTCTGTGTCTATCTATCTATCTATCTATCTATCTATCTATCTATCTATCCATCTATCCATCTATCCATCTGTATGTTTGTAAATCCATCAGTTCTAACGACGTCACAGAACTTCTTCATGAGCTCTAATTATTCCTCACCGCTCTGTGATGATGTCATCAGATGCGAGCTCTGGGTCAGATGACTGTGATGTCACGCTCCTTCCATGACCTTTGCCCTTTATCACCTCCTTCTCCTCTTCTTCCTCTTCCTCCTCCTCTTCCTTCTGGAGTTTATGCACAGGCAGAAAAGAGATGGCGTATAAGAAGCCCGTCATTGAAGCTCAAACTCTTTCAAACTGTCTTTCTATTGAGGTGCGTTTGTCAGGCCGAGCGCAGCGAACACACAGAGTCAAACACAAACACACACACACACCAGACGGGGCTTTCACTGCTGCCATAGCAACAGCTGCACCTGAGAGGAAAGATAGAAAGGTTTGTAAGGTGACAGACGCCACCTGGTGGAGGAGGACGGTAAACACACACACACACACACAGTACTGGTGTGCAATATAAAATACCACACACACTCACGTTTACTTAGCTATCTAAACGGGGACATCTAAACCTACCCATCTCACACACTCACACACACACACACACTAACCTACCCATCTCACACACATACACGCACACACAGCTCACCTCGGCCTCCTCATCTCTGTTCGTCTGCACAGCGGTGCTCGTCTCTCTGGCCTGTTTGCTGATGCGTGTGTGTTCGGTCTGCTGGGCGAACTCCACCGACATCTGCACGATCACCTGACACACACACGACATCATCAAGCCCTCATTCAAGACAAGCTATCGAGATCAAACTCATCAAGACTGCCGATTCAAGGCACATTTTAAACAAAGCACCTTCGCGATCTCCTCCTCCAGCTGCTCCTGCTGGTGTTTCTCCTGTCCGGGAGGAGATCCGGGTCGACGCTCCTGATCCCGATCCGTCTGCTCCTCACGCCAGCTCTCGCCTGGGGCTTCCTGACCGGCCTGCAGCTCACACCACAGACCTGACCCAGCGATCACAGAGACACGCTCCTCGTCCTGAGAGACGATCACAGAGTCACGTGAGAGTGTGTGTGAGATGTCCGCTCATGCGTGAGGTGGTGTTGCGTAACACCCTGACTGCTCGGCTCCGAGATGTAGGGCGGCTCGCACGGACGGACTTCACAGTGAATCACAGAGAAACTCTGAGGTTAGACTGACCTGTTCAGCTCGCTCGTCTCCGGTCAGGGGCACACTGGCACTCGGCACGCTGGGAGGAACACACACACACACACACACTGAGTGAATATCAGCAGAAACATGGACCTCAATCATATCCCAGAGTTTGTGAGGGAATGGCAGGACGTTTAAGAGTGAATGAGCTCATGATGACTTACTAAAGAGATTACAAAATAAAAGTTTGTGTTCACATAATGTGTGTGTGTGTGTGTACTGTGTATACTTATTTTGTATATGTAAATACACACACATACATACAGTATATTTAATAAAAATGTGTTTTTATATATATATATATATATATATAGACCATTTTGCAAGATGTAAACAACACTGGTCCAGAAGCACTCCCTGTTTCAGTTTTTTAACACTACATAAAAGCTGGGATAAAATACAACCAACAGAACATTTAAAACTGAATAAAAAAGTTAAACAAACATCTTTAAGATTTTTTGTTTACATGTGAAATAAAGAAAACAGTTACAAACTGAAACAGGAAGTGTTTGTGGACTAGTGTTGTTTACATCTTGCAAAATGATCTATTATATGTATACATATGTATCCAGTATATACATTATATTTCTTAAATATATACATGCATGTGTGTGTATTTATACATATAAAAGTATAAGTATATATTATTTAAGTATACAAAGCACACACATATATTATGTGAACACAAACTTTGTATATGATTAATCGTTACCCAGCACTCATTTTATTTGTTTATCTGTCGTGTGATCATTAACCCTCATCAGTGAACCGTGAACGTGTTTTTAAATGATTGAAATATGAACTGAATCTCAGGGGAACTTGTTAGTTCAATTCGCTTGGGAATCACTGACAAAAATAAGACACAAATACATTTATAAACTTCATACGATGACAGGAGGATAACAATATATTATAAATAAATATCAAGAATAATAACAAATAAATTATGTGACAAACTAGAAAGAACAGGCGCTGGAAGTGTTGAGTTATGACCCAAGAGGCCTCTGGTTTTCAGCCTTTAGTGTGTAAATATCAAACTGACAGCAAGTGGAGTTCCTGGCCTTCGTTAAAATCCCCAGACAGAGAAACTCTGACTTTAATTAATACAATCAATACAGGAAGAGTCCATCGCAAACGATCTGTCCGACTCAGATGAACCCCTTAGATTGAGAGTCTCAATAACTTTCACGCTCACGGTTCTCTGATGTTGCTTACATGAAAAAAAAATGATATCTTTATATTCTCTGGGTTTTTATCGATAACTATAATTATACGATATTTGGCTGAGTGTGTAATTCTACTGGACTCATTAACAGCTGACTCATGAAGTTTTCATATTCTCCCTACTCTGGCCAGTTCACAGCCGTGACAGAAATTATCTTTTCCAACAAGTTTACATTGATTTTTAACTTTTATGGGCATTTTTTACTTTATAAAGCCATTTTTTAACCTAATTAAAAGTTAAAATAATATTTAATGTACAATTAATTTACATTTAATCATTAAAGGGGTAGTATATGGATTATGAGTGGTCAGATTGGGAGCTGATGGAAGTGTGTGTTACTGTACTGCGTGATGTTTAGGCTCAGAGCCTGACTGTGCACCAGAGATGATGACGAGGGCTCACCTGCAGATGTCCTCGGCGCCGGAGAGCTCCTGCAGTCTCTGCTGGAGGAGGAGGATCTCAGCGGTGAAGCGCTCCTGCGTCTCCTGCTTCTGCTGCTGGTAGAAGAGCTTCAGCCGCTCGATCTCGCGTCGGTGAGTCTCCTCCAGCTGAGCCCAACTCTCCTGAAACTCCGCCTTCAGCTGCGGGGCCGTCGGCTCGCTCGGCTCTGCCGGACCAGAACAAATACGGTCCAAATACGTGACAAATACGTCACGTAATACGTAATTACGTTCAAAAGGTCACGGGCGACGTAGCCGGAAGTACAGAGTCAGTGTTTCCAAGTTGAACGTGCAAACTAACTCAAACGCCGTTTACCAAAAAAGGAATTAAAAGGTAAAACAACGATGTCGGACGATTTTGATTCTGTACTTCCGGCTACGTCGCCCGTGACCTTTTGAACATAATTACGTGACGTTGCAAACGCGCCTCACAGAATAGAGCAAGGCTAGCATTTGTCCTTAGAAAAGTTACATTTTTGGAATAAGTTTTGAAATAAGCGATCGTTTCGCATGATAAGACCCTTATTCATCGTCTGGTGTCGTTTAAAGACATTTGAAGCTGCATCTGAAACTGTCTTTTAGACCTTGAACCGTTTGGACCCCATTGAAGTCCATTATATGGAGAAAAATCCTGGAATGTTTTCATCAAAAACCTTAATTTCTTTTCCACTGAAGAAAGAAAGACATGGACATCTTGGATGACACGGGGGTGAGTAAATTATCAGTTTTTTCAAAAGTGAACTACTCCTTTAAGGGTGCAGGCTGTAAGAATGACTAGTGGTCGAGATCGGTACTGCAGTCCATGAACACAAATGTGTTGCTAAATGATTGAAATTTCAAATCTCAGGGGGACTCAAAGGGGGTCGGCTGACAAAACAACGTTTGTGAATCCCTAATTTATAACATTACCATCACATGGGTTAGCAGAAATCACATACAGCCATTTTTAAACAGAGCCGTTTCACAGTGTCTCTCTCTCTTTCATGTTGAAGGGTCTATTAATAATAGATCTGAGACACCGGGGCTCGTTTCATGTCGACTGACCTGCGGACGGACCACCGAGGCCCTGTTGCTCCGGCTCTCGACTGCGCAGCTCCTGCTCGTGTGTGTCCGTGAGCAGCTCCAGCTGCGCCGCGTGGATCTGCGAGAGACTGATGCGCTGAGCCTCCAACTGCAGACGGCACTCATCCTACACACAGTGAATTAAATATGTACATATTGATGATGCTGAAATACATTAGAGACAGATATACACTCACGTTCAAAAGTTTGGGGTAAAGAAATTAATACTTTTATTCACCAAGGTCTCATTAAATTGATCAAAAGTGACGGTAAAGACACTTATAATGTTACAAAAGACTTTATTTCAAATAAATGCTGTTCTCTTGAACTTTGTATTCATCAAAGAATCCTGAAAAACAGTTTCCAACACTGATAATAATCATCATAAATGTGTGTTGATCATCAGATCCTCATATTAGAGTGATTTCTGGAGGATCATGTGACACTGAAGACTGGAGTAATGATGATAAACTCAGGAATAAATTACACTTTACTGGATATTCACATAGAGAACGGTTATTTTGAATATATTTAAGAAGGGTGTTTCTAATCAAATAAATGTAAATCCTACCGATCCCAAACATTTCAACGGCAGTGTAAGTGGATGAAACGTTATTTTCTGGGGGCGGGCCTTTCTGTTTGACCGACCAATGACGAGAGGCCGGGCAGAGAAAAGGCAGCAGGAAAACCTGCTTGGAAACAATCAGTATTTCTGCAAAAACTGTTTGGAGCTCCTGATCTCACATCATAATCAGTGTGCGGTATCGCCTGGACATCATGCGAGTCTTTATCTGGAACAATCATTTGAGAGAAGAGTTCAGATGAGCCCATCACACACACACACATCTGTGGTTTAGCATATCATGAGACTGAGAGGCTCTTTTATCCGAGACACAAAGAGTCCTGTACGGATTGATGTGATGACGATCGCTACAGGCACAGATGAAGCATTTTAATGACCATCACAGGAATACGGAGATCGAGAATCAATTAAAATCAGAGAAAACTCTCCGGCCCGTTTATTCACAGGAAATACCGGCGATGCTTTAATAGCAGGCGTTTGATAAATGTCACAGCTATCACGCTAATACCGAAAGCCAAATTCAGCTAATAGCTCTCAAGAGCAGTCTGAGACGCACACACACACTCCGGACACGTCGACAGACTCTGGAGAAAAGGTTATCGGGGCACGTTTTACGAGAAGTCTTTAATTTCAAAATTTTAAAGAAAAATCAGGTTATATTCAATGTGTCACTTGCTGATTCTTTGTAAATATTTGTTTAATATACTAGCAATTTCTGAGTGAGACTTATTTCAAAGAAGAGCTGAAGGATTCTGGGTAAACGGAGATCCTGATTCTGAACAAACAACTAAAAAACATGCAAGTTACTAGAGGTTCTGACAAAATGTTAATAATAATAATAATAATACCTTTAATTTATAAAGCACTTTTCATTTGCGAACAGATCTCAAAGTGCTACAGCAAGCGTAAAATGAGCAGAATAAGATAACATAAAAAGTGAAAATTCTAGATTAAAAGAAGCTTTTTCTAAATAAGAAAGTTTTTAAGCCTTTTTTAAAATGGTCGACTGGCTGTGGCGCCCTCAGGTGGACTGTTAATTGTCTTCTTTTTTAAAACATATATTATAAATCACAATTATTTTGCTCAATATTGAAATCAAGATTATAATAGGCTGGTGATATGATCAAACTCTTATTTTATGATGCGAGTAACGTTAAATTCGGTGAAATGTCACAATTATCAATACTTAATAACAAAACTTATTCTAGGTTAACTAATCCTTAAAGTAAAAGAAAAAAGGAAAGCTCTCTGGGTCAGAACGCACATCTTCACTGTGATCGGGGATAATAGGTTTGATAGCCGAATCACTGTCATTTAGGACTAGGATCATGTGGGTGTTTTAACTTTTAGTCGCACAGCTCTATTTCAAAGTACATCATGAACCATTTCTTTCAGTGTAAGTCTCCTAAACTGCTCAGCTGCATCTATAAGATGAAGAACAGCACGAGTTTGATGTGCACAGACAGACAATTACTTACATGCTCAGCGCCGTCCATTTCCAGTGGCAGAATCACACGCGAAGCTGTGACAGCGTCTCCATCGACCTGAGCATCTCCCGTCTCATGCTGCAGAACACACACACACACACACACACACACACACGTCACACACACGTCATGAGAGAGTTTAACTCATGAACACACAACCGTCCTGTAGGTGAGGACGACGGAGCATCAAATCTAGCAACACGTGACTCGTATTAAAAACAAACTCAATCAGAAAGCTGCATGATTACGACATCAAATGCATGAGCTCATTAGCATACGACGTCACATGCATGAGCTCATTAGCATATGCCACCCACATTTACATAAACACCAGTGTTCAGAAACTTCACTGAAGTATAGTCATGTAAATTACATCAATATGCAGATGTTAGTCGATCAGAACAACGGTCATTTGCTAAATATTTAGGATAAAGGACCACAAAACAATTGGTTCAAGAAAAAGAAAAGAAGCCAATTTAAAGCAACTAATCCTATTTAAGGGCCATTATGATTTGTTGCCATGTGACATTAATTTGCAACAAAACAAAACAAAAAAATCATTCAATGTGAAGAAACTCGTTAAACCACATCATGGTAATGTATCGGTTAATTCAAGCTGAATTAATTAAAAACCAGCAATAATTACTTGACTAATGAGAATTTGTTTACGGTAGAATTAAATCAAACTCATCCACCACATTAGGATAATGATAATTGTGCACATGTGCTTAATTGTAATTAAAATTCCAAATACCATAACATAGCAAAAAGCCTTTTAATGTGCGATGGAAACGAGCAAACGAACATCTCTTTTCTTCCGCTTTCAGGGGGCATGTGACCTGCGTCTGTTTTAGAGAGATTCACCCATAAATGGTCTTTAGAGAAAGTGTAAATGAAGAGCTTTTCCATCAGAGCTGCTGAGATCAAAGAGTGTTCACACACAAGGAGAATAAAGCTCATCTGTCTCTCTCTCTCTCTGCTATAGCACAATCTCTCTCGCCCCTCGCTCCCCCTGCTCTCTGTCCGAACCGCAATAATCCCTCGTTCTTTCTCGCTCGCATTAAGTGCCCTCGATTCCTCCCACAGTTCTGCACAGATATATAATTCCCAGACCGTCTACCGATAAAACGGCAGCTTTCTAAACCAACTGTTGCATCACGAGCGCTCCGTTTAATCATCATGAAGCGGTAGCATGTCGCTTACCTGCTGCGTGAGGCTGAAGGAGACCGCGAGCTGCTCCTCGCGAGTGTGTGCGTGTGTGTGTGGAGCGAGCCGGCTCGCTGTAGTACTCGCAGGCGTCTCTCTCTCCCTCCCTGATCTGGTGTGTGTGTGATGCGTCTCCAGCCCACCAGAAACACTGCAGTCCCGAACCAGCGCTTTATTTCTCAGCTCCAGCTCGTCCGCCAGGCGTTTAGCATCCGCTTCCGCTAGCGAGAGCCGCTCGGCTAAGCTCTCCTTCTCTTTCTCGACCGCCTCGAGCTTCTCCATCAGCTCGGCCGTGTGTTTCTCGCTCCCGTCCGCCTCGTCGCGTCTCGTTCGCATCTCGGCGAGTTTCTTCTCGAACTCCTCGGCGTCTCTGATCAGGCGCTCCTCTAGCTGTGCTTTAGCGTTAGCCGTGAACACGTACTCGTCCTTCAGCTCCTGGAAGTTCACCTGGAAGTTCCTCTCGGCGAAGGAGAAGGTGTTCCTCTGCGTGTCGATCTCGTCCTGAAGCTCCTCGAGTCGCGCGGACGCCTGCTCGTTCTCCAGCGTTAGCTTGTTGACCTGCTCCAGGAGATTGTTGATTTCGCTCTGTCTCCGTCTCTCGAGCTCCTCTGAGGTTCCGCTTTCCTCGCTGTGTTTGAGCGCCTGAAGCAGCGCGACTCTCTCGCTCTCCGCCGACGCTAGCTTGTCCTCGTAGCCGTCGATAGCCTCACGGTGTCTCACGCTCATCTCGTCCCGCAGGTTCTGCACGTTGAGCTGGCCTTCCCGCTGAAGGTCGTCGCGGAGTCGGGAGAGCTCTTCCTCGTGGCTGAACAAGAGTTGCGTTCGGAGTCGCTCCAGTTCAGATTCCTGCGACTCGGCCATGCGATCCAACACCGCGTCTTTTTCCCGCTCTAGCATGTCGAGTTTAATCTTATAGTTCGTAATCTCTGATTCGTGTTTGACCTCGAGTTCGACGTTAGCCGCCTGCGCAGCATCAAGCGCGTCACGTAGGCGCTGCACCTCACCGACCTCTGACCTCACGCTCTGCAACTCGTTGTGTAGACGCTCCACTTGATGCGCCAGACTGAGTTTCTCTCCACTCATCCGCGCTAACTCCTGCTCCGCTTTCTCTCGTAGCACTAGCGTCTCCTGCAGCTTCTGCTGGAGCTCGATGACCCTCACGTTCAGGACGTTGCTCTGAAACACCTGACCTTTGAACTTCTCAATCTCGGATTGGTGCTCCTGAACGATTTTCTCCACTTCGGCGCGACTTTGCTCTCGGATTCGGTCCACTTCGGCCGCGTGTTGAACCCGGAGCTCGTGTTTCATGGCCACGATCTGCTCCCCGTACATCTCGTCGAGTTCGGCTCGCAGCGTGTCGCGCTCTGATTGGCTGCCGTGATGATGGCAGCGCTGCTGAAGATCCTCCACGGTTTTCATGAGCTGCAGGATTTCTCCCGAAGACATGCGCTCCTTCTGCCTGGACACGGTCAGCTCTCGTTCGCAGATGTCCAGCTCTTGGGCTTTCGCTGACAAACGCCTGTTCGCTTCTTCCGCCTGTTGTTTGCTGGTCAGAAGCTGATCCTGAAGTTGCGCTATCGACTGCTGATGCTGATGATGTTCGGTGTTCAGCAAGTCCTTATCTCGTAAACTCAGCGCAGACGATTCTTCGGATTGCGTGCGGAACTGATGACAGAGAAAACGGCATGTTTTTATTTCAAACAAGTAGCATTTAATTTTATAGACAAAAACTGAGACCATTCAGTCAGAGGGTTTTTCACACAGTTAATCGTTCGTTTTTTCTAAAAGGTGTCGTCGGATGCCCATTTTCCACAAGTTGGTGTGAGTCTTTAGGGTCTTCATGTAAAGTTTTTAACATACTTTGGTTAAAACACCTAAATTATTGTGTAAAACAACAACCTTTTACCTCCTCAAAAACATCTAGCAAATATGCTAATATAGCAAAAATGCTAATACGAGACAGTGTGTCAGCGGTCGTAGGCGGAGCATGAGCAAAATGACATCATTGTTCTCGGAAATTTCACACGGCTTGATTATTGAGAGTGTTTAGGCTTTTTGAGGATAAAAAAAGGAGTGAGCTATTTTTATAATAATCGTTATAAATCATAGACATCGTTTCATCGTTATAGCTATTTTTACAATTATCGTAATAATCATATCCATCGTTTCATCTTTATTTTTATAATAATCGTAACAATCATAGACATTGTTTCATCGTTATAGCTATTTGTAAAATGATCGTTATATTCATATAAATCGTTTCATTGTTATAGCTATTTTTAAAATTATCGTTATAATCATAAATCGTTTAATCGTTATAGCTATTTTTATAATATTGTTACAATCATAGACATCGTTTCATCGTTATAGCTATTTTTACAATTATCGTTATAATCATATACATCGTATCATCGTTATAGCTATTTTTATAATTATTGTTACAATCATAGACATCGTTATAGCTATTTTTATAATAATCGTTACAATCATAGGCATCGTTTCATCGTTATAACTATTTTTATAATGATCGTTATAATCATATCCATCGTTTAATCGTTATAGCTATTTTTATAATATCGTTACAATCATAGACATCGTTTCATCGTTATAACTATTTTTATAATTATCGTTATAATCATATCCATCGTTTAATCGTTATAGCTATTTTTATAATATCGTTACAATCATAGACATCGTTTCATCGTTATAGCTATTTTTACAATTATCGTTATAATCATATACATCGTATCATCGTTATAGCTATTTTTATAATTATTGTTACAATCATTGACATTATTTCATCGTTATAGCTATTTTATAATTATCGTTACAATCATAGTCATTGTTTCATAGATATAGCTATTTTTATAATTATCGTTACAATCATAGACATTGTTTCATCGTTATAGCTATTTTATAATTATTGTTACAATCATAGACATCGTTATAGCTATTGTTATAATAATCGTTACAATCACAGGCATCGTTTCATCGTTATAACTATTTTTATAATTATCGTTATAATCATAGTCATCGTTATGGTTTTTATTGTTACAATCAGTCATCAAATTAAAAAAAAGGTAATTGCGATTTTTCTAACAATTCTCACTTTTTCTCAGAATTGCGAGATTGTACTTTTGACAACACTACTACCCCTTTTCCACCAAAGCATTTGGAGAGCCGGTTCATCAGTGAACTCTCACCCTCTCGGCTTCACTCAGCCTCTCCTGAAGCTGTGTGATCAGTATCAGCTGCTCCTGTGTCTTCTCCTGGTGACCTCTGACCTGCACCTCCCTCTCGTCGAGCTGCTGCTGGTACAGAGTGATCTTCTCCTGGTGACCTCTGACCTGCGCATCCATCTCTTCTAGCTTCTCCTGGTGACCTCTGACCTGCGCGTCCCTCTCGTCAAGCTGCTTCTGGTACAGCGTGATCTTCTCCTGATGACCTTTGACCTGCGCCTCCCTCTCGTCGAGCTGCTGCTGGTACAGCGTGATCTTCTCCTGGTGACCTTTGACCTGCGCCTCCCTCTCATCGAGCTGCTGCTGGTACAGCGTGATCTTCTCCTGGTGACCTTTGACCTGCGCCTCCCTCTCGTCAAGCTGCTGTTGGTACAGCATGATCTTCTCCTGGTGACCTTTGACCTGCGCCTCCCTCTCGTCGAGCTGCTGCTGGTACAGCGTGATCTTCTCCTGGTGACCTTTGACCTGCGCCTCCCTCTCGTCGAGCTGCTGCTGGTACAGCGTGATCTTCTCCTGGTAAAGCGTGATCTGCTGACGGGCCTGGAGAAGATCTGAGGCGGTGGAGCTGATGCTGGAGCTCCTCAGGATCTCCCCGGCCTGCAGCTGGAGGAACAACGAGACACTCAGGGTATCGACAAATACAATACATAACTACAGTAAACCTCAGACGTTATAGTTATCGTTAGTTATTTTTAGAATTATCATTAGTTATAGTTATTGTTACAATTAAAGTTATTGTTAGTTATTTTTAGCATTATCGTTAGTTATCAATAGTTATCGTTATAGTTATTTTACAATTATCGTTACAGTTAGTTATCATTACATTAGTTTGTTATTATAATTATTTTTAGAATTATCGTTATAGTTATCGTTACAGTTATTTTTAGAATTATCGTTACAGTTATCATTACAATTCTTTTTAGAATTAACGTTACTGTTATTTTTAGAAGTATTGTTATAGTTTTTTTTAAATTATTGTTACAGTTGTAGTTATCGTAACAGTTATTTTTAGAATTATTGTTACAGTTATAGCTATCGTTACAGTTTTTTAGAATTATCGTTAAAGTTATAGTTATCGTTACAATTATTTGTAGAATTATCATTATAATTATCTTTAATTATTTTCAAAATTTTCATTAGTTATTTTTAGAATTATCGTTACAGTTATAGTAATCGTTAGTTATTTTTAGAATTATCATTAAATTTAGTTATCGTTAATTATTTTAAGAATTATCGTTACAGTTATTTTTAGAATTATTGTTACAGTTATAGTAATTGTTAAGTTATTTTTAGAATTTAGAATCATTAGAATATCATTAGTTCTAGTTATTGTTACAGTTATGTTTTTAATTACCATTACAGTTATAGTAATCGTTAGTTATTTTTAGAATTATCGTTACAGTTATAGTTATCGTTAGTTATTTTGAAAATTATCGTTAAAATTGTAGTTATCATTATGGTATCATTAAAATTGTAGTTAGCATCACGCAGGAACAGTAGCGACGCGTCTGGTACCTGTTGGAACTGAACCTGTAGTTTCTGGCTTTGCTCGGTGAGCTGAAGGAACTCCCGCATCACTTCCTCCTTCTCGGCCCGCGCCTGCTGCATGTTAGCGGTGAGCTGCGTGATGATCTCGTCCCTCTGTTTCAACGCCTCCTCGAACTCCGGCAGCTGTGGACACACAGACCGGACACGTCATTTCATTTCACCAACCCTGGACGCGCGTCTCTGAAACGTTTACAGACCGAGTGGCTATGTAGCAAACTTAACTTGTGCGGAAATTTGGAATAACGCATATAAAAAAAAACAGCAAACAAAAACAACGAGTCGTTAGCGGGACGGGCACACACACCTGCTGCCCTCCTTCGGGCCCGAACGCTCGCCGGATCTCCTCCAGCTCTCGGCTCAGCTCTTCTATGGCCATGCTCTTCGCAGCCAACTCGTCCTCCATGACCTGGATCTGGTTCTGCGGGTCAGGCTCCATCTGGGCTTCGGTCTGAGGGAGGTCCTCCTCCTGTCGGAGACACCAGAGCCGAGTCACAACCAGAACCAGAACCAGAAGCATTCATTAAACACCCCTTCCACCCAACGGTGCCGGAGCGCGGTCAGGAGAATCTGGGAATCTTCTACTGAATCTCAGGGTTATTATAGACCATTTCACAAGATGTAAACAACACTGGTCCACAAACACTTCCTGTTTCAGTTTGTAACTGTTTTCTTTATTTCACATGTAAAGAAAACATCTTAAAGATGTTTGTTTAACTTTTTGATTCAGTTTTAAATGTTCTGTTGGTTGTATTTTATCCCAGCTTTTATGTAGTGTTAAAAAACTGAAACAGGAAGTGCTTCTGGACCAGTGTTGTTTACATCTTGTGAAATGGTCTATAGTTAGCCAAAACATCTTCATTCCTTGAAACAAAACAAAAAAGTTAATTAAAATAAAATTAAATATTTTAAAAAACAAACTTATTTTATTTTCTAAACTTTTCTACATTTTTAATTAATCACAGGGTTATTATAGTTAAAAAAAACAATTCTTTTTTCAGTTTTTTAAATATTTTTTTAAAAAGATAAATTATTAAATGTTATAGATCAGTTATTAAAACATAAATATCTACTTAATTAATGAAATCAACAAACAAATTCCTAAAAGTACCTTTTATGTAAATGTAGTATTTTTTTGCTCAAGTTTTTTTTTATTTAAAATGTAGTTTTTTACACAAGCTTGTGCTTAAATATAAAACAATCCAGAAACAATTAAACAAATCAAATGAGCGCAAACAAATGCTAAAATAAAAAAAAGAGATAATTTTTTGGGTGATTTAAAAATTAGTCAATTTTAAAAAATTATTTTTGTTTTAATACAATTTTTATTATGAATTTAATAATTTATTTGAATATTTCAACATCTATTTAATGATTTCATTTTGAGTAATTTGGTGTACTACAATAAATATTGATGTACTACAATAAAAACTGAAATGACTTAAACCTAATAAAAATTACAAAAACTCAACAAAATGACTAAAATGGTTATTAAAATTAAAACAAAAATGACTTCTAAATAAAAATCTATTAATACTAAATATTAAAATAAATATTTACAGTAAAAAATATAATAGCGTCTTAATTACACTAAAATAGCACTTCTGAATTCTGAATTTATTATATTCTCGTTCCTCTTCTGTCGATGGGTAAGGCCGTGTGTCCACAAAAGCGGTATTTCTGCAAAGGCTAGCGTACTTTTCCGATTGTTTTGAATGGGAGCGCCACGTATTTAAAAACGCCAGAAGCGTGACGAGGCGGATGGAACGTTCAACGGTGGGTAAAACGCAGCGCTCCAATCACAGTGGAGGAAGGGTTGGGCAAATACCAACAGTGACCAATCACCACATCCCACTTGTAAAGCAGCAACAGATGACGAGTGTGTTTGCTACACTTTCACAGCAGCCAAAGCATTTTCAGAAGAGCGTCTGTGGACACACAGCCTTATTCCCTGTAACAGCTGAACGCTCTCGAATATAAGCATTCGTACACGCTCTCCTCCACCAATGTAACATACACCCAACAAAATGCCAAGCAGCCGTGATTTGAGTGAGCGCAGTTAAAATGGCACAGAACGCCACGGCATTAGCATGTCTACAGCGTTAGCATCTCCGCAGCGTTAGCATCTCCGCAGCTGAAGGTAAAGATCGAGCTGGAGGTAAACAGGGGAGTGATGTGAGGTTAGTGGGTTAGGAGGAGAGAGAGATGCAGCGAGGGAACTACTGTACCCCGATCACACAGGAGGACCATGGGAAATCACTGTCGGCCCTCTCCTGGAAACCATTTACCTGTCAGTTCACAACATCACACATGAAAGAGTGCACACACAAATCATGACATCATTTACCCTAAAATTGATCACATTAACCCTTCAAATACTGTGATGTGTGCAGACGTCCAGCTTCTGTACTTCTCAACGCTCCCTCTATTTCCCTGTATTATATTTCTGTAATCGAATCATTTTTTTTTTTTTTTTTTTTTTTTTTTATTTCAGGCAATGGCACAAAAGTACAAGGCAGACAAAATGTTTGTTAAGTCATACAGTGCAAAAAGAAACAAGAAACAAACAAAAAAACAACAACAAAAAACAAACAAAAAAACACAAAAAAACAACAACAAACAAAACAAATCGAATTCTACCTGAAAGGGAGTGGGAAGAAGAAAACTTATTTAATCCCACCCCAGTTCACCACTTGGTGATTAATACATTAAGCTTCATGTTTACTTTGGTCACGGATTGTTTACATAGGTTGTATCATGGTGGCGTTACCACAGTCACAATAATTTATTATAACAACATTATCAAACAGTTTAAGAAGAATAAACAATACCAACTATGGTAATGAACAATATACCAATGATGGTAATGGACAATATACCAACGATGGTAATGGACAATATACCAACGATGGTAAGGAAACATTGAGCACATGTTAACATTATAAGACAGAGTACAACATCAATATAAATTAAAAATCCTCCTCTCTGTATTTTAACCAGACCCTATGTTTATATGACAATTTAAATTGATGGATAGTTTGACATTGCTTTTGTTGTAAGTCCAGTTTGTTCCAGAGTTTCACTCCACATACAGACACACAATAATGTTTACGAGTAGTTCGGGCTCTTGGTAACGAAAAATATCCAAAGCCTCTCAAGTTATGAGCTCGCACAGGAATTTGAAAAAAACGTTGTAAGTTAGGCGGTAATAAGTTGTTAAATGCTTTATAGAGGACTATTGTTGTATTATATTTTACAAGATCATCGAGTTTTAACAAATTTGACTGCTTAAACAGCTTATGAGTATGTTCTAAGTAACCAACCTTATGAATGACCCTCACGGCTCTTTTCTGTAATATAATCAGAGGATTTATTGTGTTCTGATAATTATTTCCCCACACTTCAACACAATACATAAGGTATGGTAGTACCAAAGTGCAGTATAGGGTACGGAGTGCATTTTTATCAAGGTATAGTTTTGCTTTGTTTATAATTGAGAGGCTTTTGGAGATTTTTCTTTTAATGTGTCTGACATGGGGCTTCCAAGACAATTTACTGTCGATTATTACCCCCAAAAATTTATACTCACTCACAATTTCAATTTGGGTATCACCAATACTTATTCTCTGTTCAATCAATTTGCTACGATTACCAAACATAATTATTTTAGTTTTGTTTATGTTCAAAGATAATTTGTTTGTATCCATCCATTTTTTTATTATATTTAATTCCCTATTTACCACATTTACGAGCTCCTTATAATCATCACTACTATAGAATATATTCGTGTCGTCTGCAAATAGTATGAGTTTCAGTACTTTGGATATAGTAAAAATATCATTTATATACACGTTAAATAATTTTGGCCCCAACACTGACCCCTGGGGGACACCACAAACTATGCCAAGAGTGTCTGATAAATACTGACCCATTTTTACAAACTGTGACCTCCCTGTTAAATAACTTTTTAA